TTCAAAAGCGAGTTGACATTCGGCAGTCCAGTCTGCAGCAGTGAGCCTGAGAGAGGGACCAGGCCTCCTCCTACCCTTGCCTCTCCTAGGCTTCTTCTGACCTGTAGTTAGCTGAAACAATGGCCTAGCAACCATGGAACAATTCTCAATGTAGTGCTGATAGTATACTACCATACCAAGGAAAGAACAGATTTTGCTAGGAGACGGAGTGACACCATCAGCTTCCATCATCTCACTCTCAGTTACATTCAAAGTAGTTTGAACTTTAGCAGGGTCAGTGGCTACACCCTCCTGAGAAATTATGTGGCCCAAAAACTTAACAGACCTCCTCAAAAACTTGCACTTAGACGGAGACAGTTTAAGATTGTGCTCCTGCAACCGCTGAAAAACCATCTCAAGTCTCTGCAGACTCTCTTCCTCCATCTTAGCAAAAACCATCAGATCATCCAAATAACAAAAGAGACATAGAAAGTTTTGGTCACCAAAGATGGTCAGCATCATTCTCATAAAAGTAGCCGGGCTGTTGCAGAGGCCCTGAGGTAACCGATTGTACTCGTGCAGACCTAAAGGAGAAGAAAAGGCAGTGTATTTCTTATCCTCTTCATGTAGTCGCACCGTTATAATACCCTGACGTCAAGTCCATTGTGCTGAAGAAGGCATTACCTCCCAGCACGGCCAGTACATCAGCCTGATGAGGCAGGGGATGAGCATCCTTTACTGTGCGGCCATTTAACCACCTAAAGTCAGGACACAGGCGCAAGTCCCCATTCTTTTTCCATACCAGCACCAATGGTGAGGCATACTCGCTGCTGGATTATCTGACAATTTCCCTTTCCTCCATATCATCCAGTGTTTCCCTGAGTTTTTGGTAATGAGCTGGAGAAAGCCTACGATAAGGTAATCGAAATGGGCGGTCATCAGTCAGCCGTATGCGATGGCAGAACTCCTTTGCCTCACCACAATCTAGGCTATGTCTAGAGAACACTGTGTCATACTTCCCAATTCAATTGACAAGTTTATCTTTCCAGAACTGTGAAACTGGACAATCCTCAACAGACAGGCCTTGAAGTCCAAGATTGCTCAGTGTACTGTTGCCATTAACTACACTGCCACCAACTGAACTCTTAGCTGTCAGACTGCCATGTGAGCTGTCACATTGAACTTTTGCCACGTTCTGGTAAGCTGCTTGCTGCTTGACATCATCAAAATCCTCCAATGCAATGCAAGGGTACACATCCGCCAATTTAGCATTTCGTCTCAGGGTAACTGCCGATTTTGTTGGATTCACGATCTTCACAGGGAGCCATCCATCCCCCCCACAGAGGCGTAACTACTCTCCCCACTAATATGTGTCGATTCACACAATGAGATGTGCTGGGCTCGACATCAACAGTACTGCCCACAGAGAGTTTTGTCTTTGGGGGTAGGCGGCCCCACACCAGATGCTCACTCATGGGCTGGAGCGTTACTGCTCTCTTCAACTTAATGGTGCCCACTTTATCTGGGATGGAGTCTCCTCTCCATCTCTCCAGATTTGACAGGAGTGGCAGGAAGTGGCTGTCATCACACTGGCTAGAGGAACCTGGTGTACCCACCACCCGCCAGTAGCTTTCATTTGATTTGAACTGTCTAATCAGAGACTTCAACACATTAGTGCCCACAATGAGTTCAACCTGCCCATCTACAATAAGCACTGGGACTACATAGCTGAAGCCATAAAGCTGAATTTATAAGTCACACATGCCCACTGGGCTAGTTTGCGTCCCACCACAACCCACCAGGATGATGTCTGAAGGAGCTAGAAAGTTCCCTCTACCACTCCTGCCTCCCTCAACCGAGGTACAATCGCAGAGTAGTAGCCATGGACCCACTATCTAACATCCCCTTCAGCTCAACTTTATCCTGTATTAGCACAGTGGTGTAAAACAAACTGTCATTCTGAGTAATTCTCATTGTGTTCTGAAAAATGATGGGTTGTTCTTTGGTACTGTTTCACAAAAATAAGAATAAACAGATTGGATATCATCATCAGTGGAGGAAAAATAAGACTGCCCCACATTGCCCTCCTCAGAATGGAGGCTTTCTAGTTTTCCTGAGACCTGCCAGTCTGTCCACATCCAGGGCTCTGTCGCTGCCCAGTCTCACTACTGTCAAAGCTCATGTGGCCCGGAGAGAAGCACTTGAAGCACAGCTGGTGCATCTGACAGTGAGCTTTGGTCCAGTGATTAGTGCTTCCACAGACAGCGCACTCACGCTGACGTTTGTGGAACTGTTTACGGGGCCCTCTGTTCATAGACTGAGTATTGCTGACGAGAGCCTTCTCTAACAAAGTCAAAACTTTCTCTAATGTCCCACCCTCAGATACAGATGGTGCCTGGTCTGGTTCACGGCCACATTGAGAAAAAGATGACACATTAGGTCTGTTCACAGGACCCACTCCCTCCTGGGGGGAGTCAAAGACGGCAGCCACCTGCTGTGAAAGTTGTGTTCTACATGCTTTACGTTCCCTTAACAGTTCATCCAACCAATCCTGTACCTCACTGGCTGTCCAGTCACGAAGGGGTTTGCTCTTGAACATTTGGGCCAACTCTTTATCAGGACAGTTGCGTACAAACATGACTGCCAACTCTGAGCACTGATTGGGTAAGGTCCTGCCCTCACTTGCAAGGTACTGTTCAGCTGCCTCTGCAGCTTTGTTAAGCCTAATCAAGAAATCTAGTGGACCCTCATTAGCATATGGTTTGATTGAATAGAAATCAGCTAATGGCATACCTGAGCAGACAGTATCCCCAAAGTGTTGCTTGAGAACACTGAACACCACCTTAACATCTGTGGCAACAGGGTTGTTACACATCCAGACTTTGGTCACATCCCGTGCCCTCCCCATGAGCCTAGACATCACCTCCCCAACATTCTCAGACCCAGTGTAACCCCTCTTCTCTATGTAGACTCCCATTAGCTCCTCCCACTCCAGGACAGAGTACTTATCTGAGCAATCACCCCTAAAGAAAGGTGGAGCACTAACTTCTGACTTCACAACCAGATTCAGCTTGGACGCATCAATAAAAGTTGACCCACACTGCTCAGGCAGGGGAAACTGCTGGGGTTGGTGAGGGGGACGGGCAGGAGAAAGACTTGAAACCCCAGGCTGCAGTAAACTCGCTCTGATAGATTCTCCTATCTCTGAACCAATCTGCTTAATAAGGTCACTAAGCTGACTCGGAGGCGTCCCATTATTACTGAGGACTGTGGATGATGGTACATCAAAAGACAGAGGTGGGATACCCTGGTCAGGTGGAATAAACAGCCTACCCCTCCCAGTGCTTGCAAACTCAGGACTAGCAAACGCTCTACTCCCAGGAGCTGACTGTACAATTGGTGTAAATGGAAGGACACCCCTCCCTCTACCCCAGCATAACTCATCTTATGGACTTGAGAGTCTTCCATGGCTCAACAGAGCACTAAAATACAATGTAATTTACTGCAGTCAAATACAAAAAAAAATTGCAAACAAATTAATCCAAAACATACAAATAAACACAAATACCTGTATCTAATGAATATGCTACATTCACCTTCACTATTTGCAGTATATATTCGCTTACAGCAAACCATCAACAAATGCGCATGCGCAGATCGCGCACCTCATCCACATGAGCTTGAGCTGACCAGTCGGCAGGTCACGGCACCAGTTTGTAGCGTGGTTCGTTCTGCGTTGTGTACTTTTAATTAGGACACTGCCACAACTGGAGGTCTGCTGGTTGGAGTATTTTTATTTGCCCTGCACACGATGGGACAACACACAATGTGTTAGCCCTTGGTGCAGTCACAGCTCTTGGGCACCTTGCTCGTTGAAGGTCAGGCAAAAGAGAACCCAGGTGCTGCGTGCACACATTCAGTGCCCAACAGCACACTATACAATACAAGTAAAATGATATACAACATAATTCGGACAAAATAAAAGACATACCTGCACCCGAACAGACAACACACAATATGTTAGCCCTTGGTGCAGTCACAGCTCTCGGGCACCTGCGTGAGCACATGAAAACTCACTCAAACACCGTCCCAAGTACTCACAAATTACAATAGGTACCCTAATTAGCGAGCTCGGTGAAACTTGTTAACGTAAATCTTTATATTGTCCACATTGTAACAAAACCTATAGTTGCGTAACAGCACTTTGTGTAACATTACCACAGTTTTATATTGACAAATTACGGAGCCAAGGACAACATTCCTTGCTAGTTGAAGGTCAGGCAAAAGAGAACAATAAGAGGGTACGTAAGTACAGATAACCCGCGATGGACCAAACCAAAATATACAAAACTTTTACAATCAGGTGTATTTACAATATAGATATATAAAAATGTTTGTACACCAAAAAATAACATTAGCTATGCAGCTGTAATTAAATTAAGAAAACACATTGGATTATTATTATTATTATTAATTTATTAACATCCCCTCTTGACCTGGCCTACTTGAACTGGTCCTTGTGTGCAAATTGGTGCATAATCTAGGGGAACAACATCACACTACTACACCTGCACAGCCTAATCTGTATAAAACCGGTCTAAGAATTATTAATCCACCTACAAATCATCATCGTGAAGCTTTAGGATACAATTTCTGTTCTCTCTGTCTCGACATGCTTTATTTTTTTATGAAGAACAAGTGGATGATTGCAAAATGGATGAAACTAAGTACAGGGCTCACATGGTCAAGATGATGCCATGCTGGCCTTTACCCTTTCCGACACAGAATTTCTAATTTATTTTGTAAAATGGCAGAAGGGGTATACAATAGGCTCACTGTTGTGTGCTCTCTTTTGAGATCCTGAATTTAAAGACATGGTTGTCCTACGGCATCTGCCTTGTAGGTACACAGTTGTTCTTATATCACCTATGTAAACATATATACTGTAAGTCTCCTATTGTAACAGCCAACGGTTGTCTAACACACTGTGCAATGGACTATCCTGTACTACAGTTTGAGAATTTGATCTGCGTGGATCAGATGGGATCATTGATTCTACATCAATACTCAAAGAGGGCAAAGCCTTCCAGACAGAGGCTGTGGACTATAGGTGGTTCATTTGAGCACCGCCAAAAGGAAAGGTCAATGCAGTTCTTGTGTGTGTTTTTCTATATTATATTTGTAATATCCCTCGCTTTATCCAATATAATTTACAAAATATACACAAGTCAAGTTCCCATTTGCTTGGTTGAAAACCTGTTGCAGATCTATTTGCGATTTTTGGAATATGAGATGCACAACTCCAATGAGGGCAAACTTAACTTTGTGGCTGTGTACGACGGAAGTAGCTTAGTGGAGCACCTGAAGAACAAGTATTGCAGCACAGTGGCCAACGATATAATGTTGGTGACCTCGGTGGGGGTCATACGAATGTGGGCAGATCAGGGCAGCCAAAAAAGACGCTTCCGTTTCCTTTTCACAACCTTCCTAGAGCGTTAGTGAATTCATTTGACAGAATTTCAACCCAATCTACGGCTATGTTCAATTGTTGACGCACTGTTTGAAGAGTTCCAATTAGTTTGTAAGGAGAGGCGACAGCAGGGAATACAAAGTTCTCTTGACTGGGTTATTGAGTAGAAACAACACTCCTGGACCAACCTTGATCTAAAGTCGCTTGCAGTGCAGTGTGCAACCAGCTTAAGCCTTATTAGTTGCTTTTCAATCTAATTTATGATTTTCAAACCCTATTTAATGTTTAGGGAGTAAAGTTACACTACCGGTCAAAAGTTTTAGAACACCTACTCATTCAAGGGTTTTTCTTTATTTTTACTATTTTCTACATTGTAGAATAATAGTGAAGACATCAAAACTATGAAATAACACATATGGAACCATGTAGTAACCAAAAAATAGTTAAACGTCAGAGTTAAGGAAAAGCAGCCAACAAGTGCTCAGCATATGTGGGAACTCCTTCAAGACTGTTGGAAAAGCATTCCAGGTGAAGCTGGTTGAGAGAATGACAAGAGTGTGCAAAGCTGTCATCAAGGCAAAGGGTGGCTATTTGAAGAATCTCAAATATAAAATATATTTTTATTTGTTTAACACTTTTTTGGTTACTACATGATTCCATATGTGTTATTTCATAGTTTTGATGTCTTCACTATTATTCTACAATGTAGAAAATAGTAAAAATAAAGAGAAACCCTTGAATGAGTAGGTGTTCTAAAACATTTGACCGGTATTGTATGTTCCCCTTGTTTTCAGCTCCATGTAAAGTGGAGGCTTTCTTCTTCCATAGCAACATGTGCATCAACACCAGCTTAGTGAGCAAAGGCATCCAGAACTGTGTCTACCCCTGGGACGAGAACAACTGCAAATGTGAGACACCTGCTCCATTTGGATCTAGAGCTGACAAATATGAATCACAGTCAATGTTTTAGGTTTACCTGTATGACAAAAGTACAAGTTAATGGTGCATTGTAAATGTAATCTTGATCAATCTAAATGTAACTTTCATCACACTATTCACCACAATTCAAGACTAGAAAACTTGATGGTATGTCATGTTTACTGTACACAGAGAAGAGAAAAGCCAGCATATTAGACAATCTTGACCACACCAATGTCACAATCATTCTATTCACCTGTGGTCTGGTAGTTGTCCTTCTAATTGTGGCAAGTATCATTCAAGTCAAACAGCCACGCAAAAAGTACATAATCACAAGGGATGACTTTGAGCCCACATTGTTCCACGAGGCCTTTGAGCCCCCACATTATGAACTGTGCACCCTGCAGAGGGCAGCTTCTGCCTACCACATGACTATGGTCAATAATTTTTAGAAGTTTAACAAACTCCAACGGTCTTCATCCAAGTGCATCAGGGGCAGCCAAAGTAACCTGAGTGTGCGGGACGCAGCCATCATATCAGATGTGCCACCACACCACACCCTCCAGCCGCAGGAACATACTGATGATGAAGCACAGTTACTCACAGGACGGGCAGGATGGCTGTGACCAGGATGACGATGTGGATGATTGTCCCACCACCAGCCACCATGTCCTGGCTGCACACCGGTCAATGTCCAATGATTTCTGAGGTATGAGGAACATGCATGCCCTACAACCACAAAGATTTCCTGTTTCTCTTTGCTTGTTCCATTTGTTTTAAATATACTGAAAAAAATATAAACACAACATGTGAAGCATTGGTCCCATGTTTCATGAGCTGAAATGAAAGATCCCAGAAATGTTCCATATGCACAAAAAGCTTTTTTCTCTCAGATTTTGTGCACAAATTTGTTTACATCCCTGTTAGTGAGCATTTCTACTTTGCCAAGATAATCCATCCACCTGACAGGTGTGGCATATCAAGAAGCTGATTAAACAGCATGATCATTACACATGTGCACCTTGTGCTGGGGACAATAAAAGGCCACTCTAAAATGTTTTGTCACACAACACAATGACACAAGTTTTGAAGGAGTGTGCAATTGGCATGCTGACTGTAGGAATGTCCACCAGAGCTGTTGCCAGAGAATGTAATGTTAATTTCTCTACCATAAGCCTCCTCCAACGTTGTTTTAGAGAATTTGGCACTATGTCCAACCGGCCTCACAACCGCAGACCATGTGTATGGCGTTGTTTGGGCGAGTGGTTTGCTGATGTCAACGTTGTGAACAGAGTGCCCCATGGTGGCCGTGGGGTTATGGTATGGGCAGGCATAAGCTACAGACAACAAACACAATTGCAGTTTATCAATAGGAATTTGAATGCACAAAAATACAGTGACAAGATCCTGAGGCCCATTGTGAGGCCCATTTATTTTTAAGGTACTGTATCTGCGACCAACAGATGCATATCTGTATTCCCAGTCATGTGAAATCCCTAGATTAGGGCCTCATTTCTTTATTTCAATTGACTGATTTCTTCATATGAACTGTAAATCAGTAAAATCTTTCAAATTGTTGCATGTTGCGATTATATTTTTGTTCAGTGCATTCGGAAAGTATTCAGACCCCTTCCTTTTTTGCACAATTTGTTACATTACAGCCTTATTCTAAACTTGATTAAATAATTTTTTTCCCTCATTAATCTACAAAGCTGTAGATTTTTGATATGTTTGCAAATGCATTAAAAATAAAAAATTGTAATACCTTATTTACATAAGTATTCAGACCCTTTGCTATGAGACTTGAAATTGAGCTCAGGTGCATCCTGTTTCCACTGACCATCCTTGAGATGTTTCTACAACTTGATTGGAGTCCACCTGTGGTAAATTCAATTGATTGGACATGATTTGGAAAGGCACACACCTGTCTATATAAGGTCCCACAGTTGACAGTGCATGTCAGAGCAAAAACCAAGCCATGAGGTCGAAGGAATTGTCCGTAGAGCCCCTAGACAGGATTGTGTCGCAGCACAGATCTGGGGAAGGGTACCAAAACATTTCTGCAGCATTGAAGGTCCCCAACAACTGGCCAAACTGAGCAATCGGGGGGAGAAACACCTTGGTCAGGGAGGTGACCAAGAACCCGATGGTCACTCTGACAGAGCTCCAGAGTTCCTCTGTGGAGATGGGAGAACCTTCCAGAAGGACAACCATCTCTGCAGCACTCCAACAATCAGGCCTTTATGGTAGCGTGGCCAGACGGAAGCCACTCCTCAGTAAAAGGCACACGACAGCCCGCTTGGGGTTTGCCAAAAGGCACCTAAAGGACTCTCAGACCATGAGAAACAAGATTATCTGGTCTGATGAAAACAAGATTTAACTCTTTGGCCTGAATGCCAAGCGTCACGTCTGGAGGAAACCTGGCACCATCCCTACGGTGAAGGATGGTGGTGGCACCATCATGCTGTGGGGATGTTTTTCAGCGGCAGGGACTGGGAGACTAGTCAGGATCGAGGGAAAGATGAACAGAGCAAATTACAGAGAGATCCTTGATGAAATCCTGCTCCAGAGTGCTCAGGAGCTCAGACTGGGGCCAAGGTTTACCTTCCAATAGAACAACGACCCTAAGCACACAGCCAAGACAATGCAGGAGTGGCTTCGGGACAAGTCTCTGAATGTCCTTGAGTGGCCCAGCCAGAGCCCGGACTTGAACCCGTTCGAACATCTCTGGAGAGACCTGAAAATAGCTGTGCAGCGACACTCCCCATCCAACCTGACAGAGCTTGAGAGGATCTGCACAGAAGAATGGGAGAAACTCCCCAAATACAGGTGTGCCAAGCTTATAGCGTCATACCCAAGAAGACTCGAGGTTGTGCTCGCTGCCAAAGGTGCTTCAACATAGTACTGAGTAAAGGGTCTAAATACTTATGTAAATAAGGTATCTGTTTTTTATTTTTAATACATTTGCAAAAATTTCTGAACCTTTTTTCACTTTGTCATTATGGGATATTGTGTGTAGATTGATGAGGAAAACAAATAATTTAATCAATTTTAGAGTAAGGCTTTAAGGAAACAACATGTGGAAAAAGTGAAGGGGTCTGAATACTTTCGTATGGTATATATTAATTTGTGGATGTCCATCACACATTTCGTATGAAATGTTTTGAATTGCAATTTGTACAACATTTTACTAATTTTAAATACTTATGATATCGTCACGAATTCCAATGTGTTGTGGCTAACGTTAGCTAAGTGGCTAACGTTAGCTAGGTTAGGGGTTAAGGTTAGGAGAAGGGTTAGCTAGCATGTAGCCAGCAGATCCGACCCGCTTGCTTACAGCTGCACTAGGATCGGACAGGCTTCCTATGTATATTAAGCGGATACTTCGGGATTTGGGCAAGTCAGATGAACTAGTGGATACAATTTTTAGGTCTCTGCGTGCAGTTTGAAGGAAGTTGCTAACTAGCATTAGCGCAATTGCAAACAACCGTTAGTGCAATGACTGGAAGTCTATGGTAACTGCTAGATACCATAGACTTCCAGTCATTGCGCTAACGCTAGTTACCGTTGGCTCGCTAAACTACCTCTAACTTCCTGCATACTGGATGCAGAGACATGGGTCATGTCTACACTTGACACGTACTGCTATCAGAATACGAAGAACACATTGAAAAGACGGTCTGGATGCACAAGAGTCGCTTTGTGGTCTGATTGTGTTCAGATCTGGCTGACCACTTCAGGAGGGGGTCAGGGATGCATTGTGTGCGGATTTCTCCTCAGTCTGGAAGCAATCAGGCTACCGAAAGCCAGTGTTGCCAACTCCTCAGTAAGGAAAGTAGCTATTGGCTGTCCTAAAAGTCGCTAGAAGTCGCTAAATGACGTCATCACCTAATTTGCATAATTGGCCATGTGCATGTAATTGTGATGGACACTGTAGGAGAGAGGAATAACGTTGTGGGAGAGACAAACAGTGAGTAAAAAACACCGTACATTTACATCCCGCCCTGAATGTAAGCCAGGGCGGGATCAGCCAGCGGCAGCTTCCCGCATGCGCGATTAATTTGCAGTCTGGACGCGGAGGGGTGAACATCTCCTGCTCTGACTGCAGCTGGGAGGGACTGCTGTGCGAGGACTGGGCCGCCTGTGAGTGTTTTGGGACGGGGGTAACAAAGCACCCGCTGCTCGTTGAGGAGAGTAAGAACGATACGTGCTTTCACGTCAGAGTCTCCAAAAGTCTCCAATAACACCAGAAAAAGTCGCTAGATTTGTCGCTAGTCGCTTTTTAAAAAATTTGTCGCTAGAGGGGTCTGAAAATACGCTAAATATAGCGACAAAGTCGCTAAGTTGGCAACACTGCCAAAAGCGCATACCGTGGGTGACGTCATCAGCACTCCTCCCACAAGTCTCCAGAAAACGTGTGTTTTGGGACCAAGAGTCACCTTTTCATTATAACGTTGGGGGAAATACGCTCCTAGGGTGTGAGGAATGTGTTTGCTGGCCTCATAAATGCTAGCCAGCTAGCTAATATTTTAAACAAAAAGAAGATGTTTCGCTAGAGTTATGCTAACCTGTTTGCAATCCCTTTAGTGTTGCTTGCTAACTAGCTGTAGAGGTTAGCTACATTAGTCAGCTACTAAATGTATTTTTATTTTATTTTTTATTTAACCTTTATTTAACCAGGTAAGCCAGTTGAGAACAAGGTCTCATTTACAACTGCGACCTGGTCAAGATAAAGCAAAGCAGTGCGGTAAAAACAACAACAACACAGAGTTACATATGGAATAAACAAAACGTACAGTCAATAACACAATAGAAAATCTATACAGTGAGGAAAAAAAGTATTTAATCCCCTGCTGATTTTGTACGTTTGCTCACTGACAAAGACATGATCAGTCTATAATTTTAATGGTAGGTTTATTTGAACAGTGAGAGACAGAATAACAACAACAAAATCCAGAAAAACGCATGTCAAAAATGTTATAAATTGATTTGCATTTTAATGAGGGAAATAAGTATTTGACCCCCTCTCAATCAGAAAGATTTCTGGCTCCCAGGTGTCTTTTATATAGGTAACGAGCTGAGATTAGGAGCACACTCTTAAAGGGAGTGCTCCTAATCTCAGTTTGTTACCTGTATAAAAGACACCTGTCCACAGAAGCAATCAATCAAGCTGCAAAGTTGCCAAAATGCTATAGTGCTGACCAAAAAGGTGATTTTCCCGTGTTTTATATACACTGCTCAAAAAAATACACTTAAACAACACATCCTAGATCTGAATGAATGAAATAAACTTATTAAATACTTTTTTCTTTACATAGTTGAATGTGCTGACAACAAAATCACACATAAATTATCAATGGAAATCAAATGTATCAACCCATGGAGGTCTGGATTTGGAGTCACCCTCAAAATTAAAGTGGAAAACCACACTACAGGCTGATCCAGTCTAAATGAGGCTCAGTAGTGTGTGTGGCCTCCACGTGCCTGTATGACCTCCCTACAACGACTGGGCATGCTCCTGATGAGGTGGCGGATGGTCTCCTGAGGGATCTCCTCCCAGACCTAGACTACAGCATCCGCCAACTCCTGGACAGTCTGTGGTGCAACGTGGCGTTGGTGGATGGAGCGAGACATGATGTTCCAGATGTGCTCAATTGGATTCAGGTCTGGGGAACGGGCGGGCCAGTCCATAGCATCAATGCCTTCCTCTTGCAGGAACTGCTGACACACTCCAGCCACATGAGGTCTAGCATTGTCTTGCATTAGGAGGAACCCAGGGCCAACCGCACCAGCATATGGTCTCACAAGGGGTCTGAGGATCTCATCTCGGTACCTAATGGCAGTCAGGCTACCTCTGGCGAGCACATGGAGGGCTGTGCGGCCCCCCAAAGAAATGCCACCCCACACCATGACTGACCCACCGCCAAACCGGTCATGCTGGAGGATGTTGCAGGCAGCAGAACGTTCTCCAAGGCGTCTCCAGACTCTGTCACGTCTGTCACATGTGCTTAGTGTGAACCTGCTTTCATCTGTGAAGAGCACAGGGCGCCAGTGGCGAATTTGCCAATCTTGGTGTTCTCTGGCAAATGCCAAACGTCCTGCACGGTGTTGGGCTGTAAGCACAACCCCCACCTGTGGACGTCGGGCCCTCATACCACCCTCATGGAGTCTGTTTCTGACCATTTGAGCAGACACATGCACATTTGTGGCCTGCTGGATGTCATTTTGCAGGGCTCTGGCAGTGCTCCTCCTGCTCCTTCTTGCACAAAGGCGGAGGTAGCGGTCCTGCTGCTGGGTTGTTGCCCTCCTATGGCCTCCTCCACGTCTCCTGATGTACTGGCCTGTCTCCTGGTAGCGCCTCCATGCTCTGGACACTACGCTGACAGACACAGCAAACCTTCTTGCCACAGCTCGCATTGATGTGCCATCCTGGATGAGCTGCACTACCTGAGCCACTTGTGTGGGTTGTAGACTCCGTCTCATGCTACCACTAGAGTGAAAGCACCGCCAGCATTCAAAAGTGACCAAAACATCAGCCAGGAAGCATAGGAACTGAGAAGTGGTCTGTGGTCACCACCTGCAGAACCACTTCTTTATTGGGGGTGTCTTGCTAATTGCCTATAACTTACACCTGTTGTCTATCCATTTGCACAACAGCATGTGAAATGTATTGTCAATCAGTGTTGCTTCCTAAGTGGACAGTTTGATTTCACAGAAGTGTGATTGACTTGGAGTTACATTGTGTTGTTTAAGTGTTCCCTTTATTTTTTTGAGCAGTGTATATTTCCACACTGAGGTTGGAATAATACTGTGAAATTGTGAAAATGATGATAATGCCATTTTAGTGTAAGAGCTGTTCGAAACGACCACCTGAAATTTCAGCCTGTTTTGGTGGGATGGAGTTTTGGCCTCCCTGGTGACATCACCATGCGGTAAATTAGTTAAGACCATTAAGAAAGAAAGTTCCAAACCTCTCTGCTAATAACAGCTAGTTTTCAGTTTCCCCCTCTCCTCTCAGACCACTCCCAGGCTGTCCTAGCAAAATTATTGCTTGAGAAATTACTTTGCTAAGAAGCTATTTTTGTTTCTTTTAGACTATTTTAATTTAAAACAATCACAGTAAGGTACTTACTTGTATCCCAGAAATTATTTGATCCCCGAAGGCTGTCAGGCTGTAAATGTGTAGTATTATGTTGCTCCTATTGCTATCACTGGCACGTTGATTTAACCATGCATGTTATTTCTGCAGGTGATAGCAGATGCAAAGAAAGGGTTTCGAGCAGTTCGATTGGGGTTGAATCCATTGTTGGTGTGGTACTCCCGTTACAGAGCTTAGAGACAGGGAGTTCATCATTATACTTTGTTCCACATTTCAGATTTATGGCTTGTTAGTCAATCCATCAGATAATTTACAAATAGTTCACCATCCACAATGTATATGTAGCTAATACCTAATACAGGGGGAACAAATGTTTGGTCTTTCTTTCATTTATGGTTCCCATTTCAGGTCAGTTTTGCTCAGTACTCAAATGTCGTCATATTTGGAGTACCTCAGATGGTGAGATTTTAACTGTTAATTCTTTGCCAGTCTTTACAACAATAATGGTAGTTCGTTATTTTGTAAATACGACCATCAACAATATGACCCTCAAAATGATGTTTGATTGTATGACTTCACAGATGGATCAGTTTGTAGGTGAAACTGCAGACAGAACTACAGAGCACAGCTAAAGTGGTGGCCTGCTGTTTCTCCTTTCCCACCTGGGCACCTGATGGCACCGCTGGAGAAGGAATATGCTCTGTGTGGGTATATGATGCAGAGTCACTCAAAACGTAAAGATGAACACATCAGGGACATATCCTAACACCACAGCAGCCCCCGGGCACTGGTGGCACTATCACCTCATAAGGATGTGTGCATCCCTGGATGCCTCAGGGATTTTGTTGTTGTCGATTTTGAAAAACCTTCCCAGGATGTTATCAGATCAAATGTTTGAGAGTCAGTCATTGCTATTCAATTGGTAAATGTTTTGTAAATGATGTACCTGTATTTAAAATAATAAAAAATAATTGTGACAAGTATGCAAATTCCCATTCGTGCATTCGTCACTACCAACACATTGTATTTAATTACTTAATATTAAACTGCCCTAAAATGTATTTGTTGAATGTTTATTTTTGGAATAGAAATATACAAGTATACTCTTTTAGCGTATTTCAATACGGTAAGCATACTAATAGTTGCTGTGCACTTCTGTTTTTACCGTAGTTAGTCTAGCCATCTAGTAGTAGTTGTAGGGCCATGATGAAGCGTGCCCAATAAATAGCTACATTGTATCCCCACGGGGAATCAAATAGACAAGTTACATTGTATTCCGGGGATCGTTAGTGTTCGAATCGAACATCATTCTAAGATGTTATGTTTCTTTTATTTCGCTGGCAGCTAGGCTTTCCACCAACTAGTCAGACGGTGTTTCGTGTTGTGTTGAATGTAAAGAGGGCAGTGTGCGTCAGCATTCAAGATGGACACCGCCGAGGAAGGTAGTTGGCAACCTCGTCAACCCATCTTGTTAAATTTACGTGACATTATTAGTTAAACTCCTGTTGTGAAACACATTTGATTGGGCCTCTAGGAAACTGCTTTGTCGCAAATTGACATTAACTATTTATTTCTGTTGATTCTGCAACCTGCGTGTAGTAGCTAACGTTAGCTTGCTAGCATAGCTAACTAACTTTAGCGACATCCATCCATCCACTCACTCACCACGAAGTCCGAAATATAGCTAACCAACATTCGTCACTGCTAGTTAACATTAGTAGTGAGTTAACTAACTTCACTGCTACACGTTGTTGTTAAATGTCCATTTAATAGAATATTGACGTAGTACTCCATGATCTAATCAACATAGCTAGCTAGCCAACTAACATAATAGCAACATGATAGAATTGAAATGTTTGTTTGCAAACCCACCCAGTATGTGCCACCCACCCATTACATTAGTACTGTCACTCACTTGATTAGTGTCAGTGACAGGTAAAGTATGTGCATGATTCATTGCTGAATGTAAAGTTAATCAAAAGCCCCAGACTATTTACACATGAAAGGCCCTTGCATAAGGAGTCTTGAGACCACTGAAAGATCTGCTAGGTTGTTATCTTGCAAGTTGCACATAAAGGTTTCTCATAACAAAGCCGATCTTATTTTCTGCATACAAAATCAGCATCATGCCTTTTTTTTCGTTGGTAGAACCCTGTTCTCTGTGATTTTGTCTGATTCATGTCCATGTTTTCTTCAGGGGATATATGCCGGGTCTGCCGGTCTGAAGGAACCCCGGACAAGCCACTATATCACCCCTGTGTTTGCACAGGAAGTATAAAATTCATCCACCAAGAATGGTATGTGGTGTTGGTTGGTTGGCGGTATACTCAAACACAGGCCTAGTGGCATTTCTTTAGAGACGGACTGGGTTCTAGCCAGAGCATGATACATTCAAGATTCGGATCAGAGCCAAGTATTACTAAGGAAAAGTAATACTTAGCCAGAGATACACTCTGATACTTTATCTCTCTCCATGCTAGATCTAGCTAGATGGACTGACCTTAGGCATCGACAATTTATCTTTTGCATTGCTGCACGTGTGACACCGCACTTATATGATCCATCTATGTGTTTTCACAGCTTGGTACAATGGCTAAAACACAGCAGAAAAGAATACTGCGAGTTATGCAAGCACAGATTTGCTTTTACGCCAAGTAAGTAATTCAATTTCATTCTCTCTGTCTATATGCCTTCTGTTTAACATACTATTCAATGCCGCATTTACTTCTCAGAGTGAGGCTGTGAGCTGGCCTGAAGAATCGCACTGAATTCTTCCGCTGCTCTATCAATCGCTACATACTTCAGTCTGAATTAGAGAACTACCGATACAGATTTTTTAGGGCCGATACCAATGTTTGGGGGTCAAGGAGGCAGATGGCCGATATGTAATATCATTAGATTGGAAAATGTTGATGACAAATTGTCCCAGAGACAGTCATGTATGCATTCATGCATCAATTTTAAAATTAAACAATACATTTGACTTTGTTTTTACCAAATGTATCTATATAACAACATAATGGTAATAATTGTATTTGAATGGTAAATCTCTTGATAAACTGGGTAAATTAAGATGTCATGGGCCTGCTCACAATACAGGTGAATGCATTTGCATTAGGAGTGTGTGCATGCATTGAGTTAATGAGCTAGTTTTGGCTGATCAGTGGAGTCTATGGTGCTAACGATGACAATCTGTTTGCCTTCCATTTGGGACTTATATTAGCCTACTGATCAGCAACATTTGCTCCAGCATGTCAAGCCTGTATGGAAGGACATAATATAGGCACTGCTGTTAGTTGGAGAATATAAAATAACATCTACTCAATGCAAATGGGTCCAACATAACATCATGATTTGTGATCACGGATGATTATGAAACTAGCATTCTTTCCATCTCTAAACAGCTCAGCTGCCAGGACGAAATTCGAAACAACTCAATTGGCTAGTTCAGCTATCTCAACAAGAAATGGGCGGGTTGTAATTTGATCCTACTACTATGATTGGATAGAGCGAGGGTGTAACTCCACTCCCTTTCAAATCTCCTCATCTCTCTCCATCACTCATATCACTTGGTTCTGTTTTCTGCTACTATGAGGACTAGCTCAATGGCTTGTTGACATTTGCTACCAAGCCATAAATGTGCATAATATCAAGCGAGGGTAGGAAAAAATATGAAATGACAAGGCACATTCTGTCTGAGACTAATCAGCCCATAGTTTGAGAAGTGAGAGCGCACACGTGCGCTGATCTACAGCTTTCTTGGTCCATAAACATGCAGGAAGATTCTTAGGTAGTTAACCCTACTGCCAACCTTTATTTAGGCATTTTAAAACACTTCATTCTTTCCCTATTACGACAATCATCTAATCCGACTATCAACTGTCAATTTATGGATACGATTGCGGCTGGTCAGATCAGGACACCAGTAAATAGCTAATGTTACACCGCAAGCCAAATGGCTCGTTGCCGAAAATGGTGCATGTTCAAAATGATAACCAGCTAACGTTAGCTAGCTAGGTTGGCTATTAGCTCCTATCTGATATCTTAGCACCATGTTTATCTAGCTAACACCACAGATAAAAGGGTTAGTTATTGTAATCTTTGCTAACAGGTCACATAGCTATCTGCTTAGCTAGCTTTCTTATTGCATGCATGTCTGGGCACGTCAACACGGTCCTTATTATTAGTGAATTAACTAAACTAATATTTCCAACAGGAGATCGATTTTGGTCACTGTGTCAATTTATCTATTTCTCAATACTGGACCTTTCTGTTGGAGTATGAGCCTGCTTGCTGCTGCTGATTTTCCCAGCTAGACATTCCTCAGCATTGTGCAGTACTCATTGCTCAGGCAGTGTGGCTGCTGGCATAGCAGCAGCTTTGCTATGTAGAGGGACTATCGACAAAGCCGACAGAGAAGGGCCGATAGACTAGAAAAGGCCAATATCGGCCCGATATATCGGCTCGGCTGATTATCGGTCATTCTCTAGTCTGAATCTGCCATCGTTGACGTCGTTTGTGGTGATGAGGGGCGTTGTATAAAACAAAGTAGTCAGCGATTGGATCGTCCAACCAATCAGAGTATCAAAGCCAATAAATAATTTTCAAAACATTGCTTTACCCACGTGTGTTCTTGCTCTGGCCCAACAAATCAGACGGTCCAAAAGTGTTTGCATTCAAGAAGGGTTGGGGCGGGAGTCAAATCCAGACTCATTGTGGAGAAGAAACAAATGTTTGCAGGTGTGTCGTTTGGCCGAAACAATGAGTCTGGGTAGCCAGGCAAGCTGTGAGCTGCCCTGGGTCGTTATCATTCAGAACAGGCCTAAGGGACAGACGCACAGCCCTGTTTAAATTAATCTATTACTCTGGAAGTGTGGCTCAAGCTAATGCGCATGCAGCAGCCTGCTCTGTTTCTCTTACTGAAGTCTGTTTGCCATCTTCATTCACATAGTGAGTGATTTAGCAAGATATTAGCATACTTCTTGTGTTTCAGATTGTTAATATCTTCAGTTTCTTTAACATATTTTTTAATTTTGGTTTTTCAGATGATTAAATTGATTATCCTTGTCCTTTAGACAGTCTGTCATGATACCAATAGAAAATGGTCAGTTTTCTGACCAGGCAACTGCTGACAACTCTCAGCATAACCTCTAATCTGATCCAATGCAAGCTTTTGTTAGTTTTGAATGGACCCAATTAGGACGAGTAAAGGAGTGTTGGCATTTGAGAATGTGAAAATTAAGTAGCCTATTTGATCCTTTCTTCCCTCTGTTCTTTTTCAGTATATTCTCCAGACATGCCTTCCCGGCTGCCTGTCCAGGACATATTTGCGGGGCTGGTGACTAGTGTAGGCACAGCTATTAGATACTGGTTTCACTACACACTAGTGGCTTTTGCTTGGCTGGGAGTGGTTCCTCTCACAGCATGTAAGTACAAATGTCCTAAAACAGTATGTTGGTACATGGTTGTTCAGATTGCTGTCCAGTGTTGGCCTTTTGTAAATGTGTGTGTTGACTGACTGACTTGTCTTATTCCCGCAGGTCGCATCTACAAGTGTCTGTTTACCGGCTCTGTGAGCTCACTCCTCACCCTGCCATTAGATATGCTTTCTACGTACGTTTTACCTTTTTCTCTTCTCCCAAACCTGTACAAAACAATACTCTGTAAAAACATGAGATAAATGTTGTCTAGTCATTTAGCAGATAACATTCGGACTCATCGTGAGACAATTGTCATTTCCCTTCTTCCACAGAGAGAACTTGCTGGCGGACTGCTTGCAGGGTTGTTTCGTGGTGACGTGTACACTCTGCGCCTTCATCAGTCTGGTGTGGCTGCGGGAGCAGATTGTTCACGGTGGCGCCCCCCAGTGGCTGGAGCATAATCAGCAGCAGCAGCCTCAACCTGCACCAGCTCCACAACCTAATGAGGTAGCCAAAAATCCCACTGTCAAGTACAAGTCACTCTTTAACATAATGATGTGATAATGGTAGCATTTATTTAGTGCAACTTGACGAGTTGAGTGTTTTGAAGCACTCAATACACTCTTCCTTAACCACCTATTCTAATGTTTTGGAGCTACCAGCCCCCACCTTCATGCCCAATCTCTTTTCCCTATCAGCAGGCCCCTGGTCCTGGGCAGGGGGTGGGTGAGAACCAGCCTGCTCCTGCCGCAGCTGAGCCCCCGGTGGACAACGGTCCAGCGGCTGAGGTCCCTGACATCCAGGTGGACCCGGCAGAGGACATGGAGAATGAGGATGAGGATGAGGCTGGGGCTGATGATGTTGCAGATGCCAACAATGGAGCACAAGGTACAAGCCTCAGAATGGAAAGGTTCTAGCCAGGTTACAGTTCTGTTGTGGTCTTGCCAACACCATTGCTCATTGTCAGTGACCAGGAGTTGGTATAATAGCACAAACAGACTGACACTCAGGCTATAAAGGTCCAAGATGCTAAGCTAATGCAGCCGTATTCAAAGGCTTATTAAGGATGATGCATTTGCATTTAACAGTATTCAACATCATAATCTCTATATTTGATAATTTTTCATAGACCTTCATCTGTTGGCGATATCTGTTTGTTTGTAAAAGTGTGTTCCACAGTTGGTGTCAGTGAGTGAGGTGCTGCTTTTCTCTTTGTAGATGACATGAATTGGAATGCCCTGGAATGGGACCGGGCAGCAGAGGAGCTAACATGGGAGAGGGTGAGTCTGGCTTAGAATTCCCTCAGGCCTATTTGTGTTATTTACCCATTGGTCATCGTTGTGTCTATGAAAAGTACAGTGAAATGTAATATTCATATTTTTTTTTCTTCACAGATGCTCGGTCTTGATGGCTCCTTGGTTTTCCTGGTAAGTAGCTCGTTCTTGGAGGGAAAAAACTTGAATTTGATGTTTTCCCATGTTTGATGAAATAGCACACCCTTTTGAGAAAGTCTTCAGTTTGTGTTCTCTCTTTTTCAGGAGCATGTCTTCTGGGTGGTCTCACTAAACACACTCTTCATTCTGGTGTTCGGTATGTGTCATAAACTATTGTTAAGAGAATGTGCAATTGATGAATAAACAATATAAAGAGAAATATTCCAACACCTGACTTGTATTTTTTATTTTTTTCAGCTTTTTGCCCGTATCATATTGGTCATTTCACAGTTGTGGGACTTGGCTTTGAGGAAAATGTAAGTACCAGCTTAATGTAAATTAAATGTTTTGCTTTTCTCTCACACGTGTAACCCGAGAGATTATATTTGAAATCTATAAGAATTGATTTTGTGAAGTTTGTTTTGGAATCTGAATGACTCGCTCCATGGAACACAGTTGAGCTACTTTGCAGACTATTAGAAAGAAGATTATTTTGATGATGTAATTTCCTGTTGCAGGTGCGGGCTTCCCATTTCGAAGGTCTCATCACCACCATCGTGGGCTACATCCTCCTGGCCATGATATTAATACTGTGCCATGTATCCTCTGGTGTCTCTTACAGAAGTGTGTTATACCTTAGCGTCTGTTATAGACATAATGTAGTACCTGTGTTGTACTGTATGTATTCGTGTGTCTTCCTTAACGAAAATCCCAGGGATTGGCAGCGCTGGTGAGATTTCAAAGATCCAGACGCCTTTTAGGAGTGTGCTACATTGTTGTCAAGGTATCGAAAATTATGATAATGATTTCTCCCGTGATTGGGAATGCAAAGCTGGACTGGTATATGACTAGTTTGTGTCTTATGGACTCAGAAGTGTATATACATATAGAATATTGTGTTTATCGTCCATATGTTCTGAACTGTTACAGAGCAATTGGGATTACAGTATAAACTCCAATAATTTGCCTTCTATTGCCATAAAAAGAAACACCAGTTATTATAAGTATTGATATTATGATTAACCAGGTATCCCTGCTGGTAGTCGTGGAGATCGGTGTATTCCCTCTCATCTGTGGCTGGTGGCTTGACATCTGCTCACTGGTAAGCCAACCATGTTCTTCTGCTTCAATGACTCGTACTTTCAAAATAATTGATACATCACTTAGAAACCAAATTATTTTATAATAATATAATATAATATGCCATTTAGCAGACGCTTTTATCCAAAGCGACTTTCAGTCATGCGTGCATACATTTTTTTTTTGGTGTATGGGTGGTCCCGGGGATCGAACCCACTACCTTGGCGTTACAAGCGCCGTGCTCTACCAGCTGAGCTACAGAGGTACTATTTTCTGTGTTGCAGGAGATGTTTGATGCCTCTCTGAAGGACAGAGAGCTGAGTTTTGAGTCTGCTCCTGGTACCACCATGTTCCTCCACTGGCTTGTAGGGATGGTCTACGTCTTCTACTTTGCCTCGTTCATCCTCTTACTGCGAGAGGTGAGATGGTATTCTCTCGCATACCTTCATATCTGTCATTTGAAGTGCCAAACACCCACTCATTGCCATGATAGTGAATGCTAAGAGATTTCTGCTGTGGAATGATTCTGTATATTTCTCACCATGGCTGATCTGTTTCTAATTTTCGCTCTAGGTCCTGAGACCCGGTGTTTTATGGTTTCTCAGAAACCTGAACGATCCTGATTTTAATCCTGTTCAAGAAATGATTCACCTGCCCATATACAGACATCTTAGAAGATTCATTTTATCGGTGGTGAGTCGCAACCCATTTCTATTGTCTGTAAAATGCCATATCTATGGGTGTCTGGACAGGACTTATACAGAACCAGTAACACTGGGTTTCTCCTGTCTTTCTCCACAGGTGGTGTTTGGCTCCATAGTTTTACTAATGTTGTGGCTTCCCATAAGGACGATCAAACTCATCCTCCCAGCCTTCCTCCCCTACAATGTCATGCTGTACAGGTAATTTTGGTGGCCTGGAATGACAATGGAATGACTTGACTTAAGCCCTTGGCTCCTAGTAATGTAATGAAGCTGTTACGGCCCAAGTCTCCCGCTTTGCAATTACCGGAAGACAAACCATTGGCCGCATAAATGGATGCCACACTACAACATCAATAATCAATGCCTCTTTAGTAATGAAAAAAATGCCTCTTCAGTAACTAGCAAATGCCTCTCTAATGTACTCTGTTATGAGTGATGATAATGTCTCTGTGTTGACTGGGTGATGTGTTGTCGGTCTCCATCTCCCAGTGATGCTCCAGTCAGTGAGCTGTCTCTGGAGCTGCTGCTGCTGCAGGTGGTTCTGCCTGCGTTGCTGGAACAGGGCCACACACGCCAGTGGCTCAAAGGCCTCGTCAGAGCCTGGACCGTCACCGCCGGATACCTGCTGTGAGTGTCACACACAAACAACTACATACAGTTGAAGTCGGAAGTTTACGTACACCTTAGCCAAATACATTTAAACTCAGTTTTTCACAATTCCTGACATTTAATCCTAGTAAAGATTCCCTGTCTTAGGTCAGTTAGGATCACCACTTTATTTTAAGAATGTGAAATGTCAGAATAATAGTAGAGAGAGTGATTTATTTCAGCTTTTATTTCTTTCATCACATTCCCAGTGGGTCAGAAGTTTACATACACTCAATTAGTATTTGGTAACATTGCCTTTAAATTGTTTAACTTGGGTCAAACGTTTTGGGTAGCCTTCCACAAGCTTCCCACAATAAGTTGGGTGAATTTTGGCCAATTCCTCCTGACAGAGCTCGTGTAACTGAGTCAGGTTTGTAGGCCTCCTTGCTCAGACACGCTTTTTCAGTCCTGCCTACACATTTTGTACAGGATTGAGGTCAGGGCTTTGTGATGGCCACTCCAATACCTGGACTTTGTTGTCCTTAAGCCATTTTGCCACAACTTTGGAAGTATGCTTGGGGTCATTGTCCATTTGGAAGACCCATTTGCGACCAAGCTTTAACCTCCTGACTGATGTCTTGAGATGTTGCTTCAATATATCCACATAATTTTCCTTCCTTATGATGCCATCTATTTTGTGAAGTGCACCAGTCCCTCCTGCAGCAAAGCACCCCCACAGCATGATGCTGCCACCCCTGTGCTTCACGGTTGGGATGGTGTTCTTCGGCTTGCAAGCTACCCCCTTTTTCCTCCAAACATAACGATGGTCATTATGGCCAAACATATCTATTTTTGTTTCATCAGACTAGAGGACATTTCTCCAAAAAGTACGATCTTTGTCCCCATGTGCAGTTGCAAACCGTAGTCTGGCTTTTTTATGCCGGTTTTGGAGCAGTGGCTTCTTCCTTGCTGAGCGGCCTTTCAGGTTATGTCGATATAGGACTCCTTTTACTGTGGATATAGATACTTTTGTACCTGTTTCCTCCAGCATCTTCACAAGGTCCTTTGCTGTTGTTCTTGGATTGATTTGCACTTTTCGCACCAAAGTACGTTCATCTCTAGGAGACAGAACACGTCTCCTTCCTGAGCGGTATGACGGCTGCATGGTCCCATGGTGTTTATAATTCTTTTTCTGAGGTCTTGGCTGATTTCTTTAGATTTTCCCATGATGTCATGCAAAGAGGCACTGAGTTTGATGGTAGGCCTTGAAATACATCCACAGTACACCTCCAATTGACTCAAATGATGTCAATTAGCCTATTAGAAGCTTCTAAAGCCATGACATAATTTTCTGGAATTTACCAAGCTGTTTAAAGGCAAAGTCAACTTAGTGTATGTAAACTTCTGACCCACTGGAATTGTGATACAGTGAATTATAAGTGAAATAATCTGTCTGTAAACAATTGTTGGAAAAATTACTTGTGTCATGCACAAAGTAGATGTCCTAACCGACTTGCCAAAACTATAGTTTGTTAACAAGGAATTTGTGGGGTGGTTGAAAAACGAGTTTTAATGACTCCAACCTAAGTGTATGTAAACTTCCGACTTCAACTGTACCAACACACTGTTAGTCTGTGCGTGTGGTTTATCATTTACATTGGAAACCATTATTTTACTGTCATATTGTTAATGTAGGCTGTCATCGTTCTCCCATAAATCCAATGTAAAAACCCAGAATTTAGGTATTATAGACTGACACACATCCTTGGTCTCATCTCAGCAAACCCCATGTTAATCGTGCTATCTGTGCCACAGAGACCTCCACTCGTACCTGTTGGGTGACCAGGAGGAGAATGACGGTGATGCGGACCAGCAGGCCAACAACCAGCAGAGGAGGAACAACAACAACGCCATCCCTGAGGGGCTGCACGCTGCCCACCAGGCTATCCTACAGCAGGGAGGCCCTGTGGGCATCCAGCCCTACCACCGGCCCATGAAGTTCACCTTCAGGGTGAGACATGAATATCACTCTCACCTGTTTATAATATAATGATAATATAATGACTATCACCAAAACCAGCAAAATTAAGGCATACAACGATTTTAATAAAAAAATTTAAAACATTACAATACATTCACAGATTTCACAACACACTATGTGCCCTCAGGCCCCTACTCCACCACTACCACATATCTACAATACAAAATCCATGTGTACGTGTGTATAGTGCGTATGTTATCGTGTGTGTGTATGCATGCGTCTGTGCCTATGTATGTGTTGCTTCACAGTCCCCGCTGTTCCATAAGGTGTGTTTTTATCTGTTTTTAAAAATCTAATTTTACTGCTTGCATCAGTTACTTGACGTGGAATAGAGTTCCATGTAGTCATGGCTCTATGTAGTACTGTGCGCCTCCCATAGTCTGTTCTGGACTTGGGGACTGTGAAGAGACCTCTTGTGGCATGTCTTGTGGAGCATGCATGGGTGTCCGAGCTGTGCGCCAGTAGTTCAAACAGACAGCTCGGTGCATTCAACATGTCAATACCTCTCATAAATACAAGTAGTGATGAAGTCAATCTCTCCTCCACTTTGAGCCAGGAGAGACTGACATGCATATTATTAATGTTAGCTCTCTGTGTACATCCAAGGGCCAGCCGTGCTGCCCTGTTCTGAGCCAATTGCAATTTTCCTAAGTCCCTTTTTGTGGCACCTGACCACACGACTGAACAGTAGTCCATGTGCGACAAAGCTAGGGCCTGTAGGACCTGCCTTGTTGATAGTGCTGTTAAGAAGGTAGAGCAGCGCTTTATTATGGACAGACTTCTCCCCATCTTAGATACTGTTGTATCAATATGTTTTGACCATGACAGTTTACATTCCAGGGTTACTCCAAGCAGTTTAGTCACCTCAACTTGCTCAATTTCCACATGATTTATTACAAGATTTAGTTGAGGTTTAGTGAATGATTTGTCCCAAATACAATGCTTTTAGTTTAAAAAATATTTAGGACCAACTTATTCCTTGCCACCCACTCTGAAACTAACTGCAGCTCTTTGTTAAGTGTTGCAGTCATTTCAGTTGCTGTAGTAGCTGACGTGTATAGTGCTGAGTCATCCGCATACATAGACACACTGGCTTTACTCAGAGCTAGTGGCATGTCATTAATAAAGATTGAAAAAAGTAAGGGGCCTAGACAGCTGCCCTGGGGAATTCCTGATTTTACCTGGATTATGTTGGAGAGGCTTCCATCAAAGAACACCCTCTGTGTTCTGTTAAACAGGAAACTCTTTATCCACAATAAAGCAGGGGGTGTAAAGCCATAACACAAACGTTTTTCCATCAGCAGACTATGATCGATAATGTCAAAAGCCGCACTGAAGTCTAACAAAACAGCCCCCACAAACTTTTTGTCATCAATTTCTCTCAGCCAATCATCAGTCACTTGTGTAAGTGCTGTGCTTGTTGAATGTCCTCCCCTATAAGCGTGCTGAAAGTCTGTTGTCAATTTGTTTACTGTAAAATAGCATTGTATCTGGTCAAACACCATTTTTCCCCAAAAGTTTACTAATGGTTGGTAACAGACTGATTAGTATGCTATTTGAGCCAGTAAAGTGGGCTTTACTATTCTTAGGTAGCGGAATTACTTTTGCTTCCCTCCAGGCCTGGGGGCACACACTTTCTAGTAGGCTTACATTTCTAGTAGGAGTTGCAATATCGTCCGCTATTATCCTCAGTAATTTTCCATAAAAGTTGTCAGACCCCGGTGGCTTGTCATTGTTGATAGACAACAATCTTTTTACCTCTTCCACACTCACTTCACGGAATTCAAAATGACAATGCTTTTCTTTCATAATTTGGTCAGATATACTTGAATGTGTAGTGTCAGCGTTTGTTGCTGGCATGTCTTGCCAAAGTTTGCTAATCTTGCCAATGAAATAATCTTTATAAAGTAGTTGGCAATATCAGTCGGTTTTGTGATGAACGAGCCATCTGATTCAATGAATGATGGAGCTGAATTTGCCTTTTTTCCCAAAATTTCATTTAAGTTGCTCCAAAGCCTTTTACTATCATTCTTTGTCATTTATCTTTGTTTCATAGTGTAGTTTCTTCTTTTTATTCCGTTTAGTCACATGATTTCTCAGTTTGCAATGTGTTTGCCAATCAGTTGTGCAGCCAGACTTATTTGCCATTCCTTTTGCCTCATCCATCTCAACCATACCATTTTTACAAGTCCTCATCAATCCACAGGGATTTAACAGTTTTTACAGTCAATTTCTTAATGGGTGCATGCTTATTAGTAACTGGAATAAGCAATTTCATAAATGTGTCAAGTGCAGTGTCTGTTTGCTCCTCATTACACACCACGAACCAACAGATATTATTGACATCAACAACATAGGAATCACTACAAAACATATTGTATGACCTCTTATACACTATATTAGGCCCAGCCTTTGGAACTTTGGTTTTCCTAGATATGGCTACTATATTGTGATCACTACATCCAATGTATCTGGATACTGCTTTCAAGCAAATTTCTGCAGCATTAGTAAAGATGTGATCAATACATGTTGATGATTTCATTCCTGTGCTGTTTGTAACTACCCTGGTAGGTTGACTGATAACCTTAACCAGGTTGCAGGCACTGGTTACAGTTTGAAGCATTTTCTTGAGTGGGCAGCTTGATGAAAGCCAGTCAATATTTAAATCACCCAGAATATATACCTCTCTGTTGATATCACATATATTATCAAGCATTTCACAGATGTTATCCAGATACTGACTGTTAGCACTTGGTGGTCTATAGCAGCTTCCCACAAGAATGGGCTTTAGGTGAGGTAGATTAACCTGTAGCCATATTACTTCAACAGTATTTAACATGAGATCCTCTCTAAGCTTTACAGGAATGTGGTTCTGAATATAAACAGCAACACCTCCACAATTGGCATTTCTGTCTTTTCTGTCAAGGTTATAACCTTGTAGTGCTACCACTGTATAATCAAAGGTATTATCTAAGTGAGTTTCAGAGATGGTCAGAATATGAATGTCATCTGTTACTAGAAAATTATTGATTTCATGAACCTTGTTTCTTAAGCTACATATGTTAACGTGGGCTATTTTGAGCACCTTTCTTCTGGGATGCTTACTTGTTTTCATTGCTTTACTGGGAAGCTTAGCAGAAGTAGATATTCTCATGTTTTTTATGTTAGTGCAGGGTGAGCTGCACACAGTGGACTTCCTGCTTAGGCACACCGCCTCAGTGCTAACAGTATAAATCTGGTTCATAGGCACATGATTTCTGCATACAATAGCTGTAGGATCAGCAGAGGCATTCAGGGCAGCTAGAGGGACATACATTAGGTTACTTACATTGTATCTACCAACGCCACTGGTATAATGTACATTTGCTGGCATTATGACAACTCAGCGTCACACTGGTAGGGATTAACTGAGCTGGGCTTGGGTCAGCAGTAGACTCTTCACTGTTTTCTCTAAGCCATCTTTCTCATCTTTCTCAGAGCATGATAATGTAATGTAATGCAATGTGGTATATTCATGTGTATTCTTGATTTTCTAGATTGTGCTGCTGATCGTGTTCATGTGTGTGACACTGCTGGTGGCCAGTCTGGTGTGCCTCACGTTGCCAGGTGAGTTTTCTGTATAGTCCACACAACTCACTCAGTCACTCACTGAATTGCACTGTCCACTCCACTGTCTTCTCCATTTTTCTACCCAATTTTGTGATATCCAATTGGTAGTTACTGTCTTGTCCCATCGCTGCAACTCCCGTACGGACTCGGGAGAGGCGAAGGTCGAGAGCCATGCGTCCACTGAAACACGACCCTGCCAAGCTGCACTACTTCATGACACATGACTGCTCGCTTAACCCGGAAGCCAGCCGCACCAATGTGTCGGAGGAAACACCGTGTAACTGGCGACCGTGTCAGCGTGCATGCGCCCGGACCACCACAGGAGTCACTAGAGCGCGATGGGACAAGGTCATCCCGGCCGGCCAAACCGTCCCCTAACCCGGACGTCGCTGGGCCAATTGTGCATCGCCTCATGGGTCTCCCGGTCGCGGCCAGCTGCGACACAGCCCGGGATTGAACCCGGATCTGTAGTGACACCTCGTGCACTGCAGTGCCTTTTACCGCTGCGCCACTCGGGAGGCTCAGTCTTCCCCATTCACCTACTGTCATCCTCTCTTCCTCTCCCTGTCTCACCCCCTCTCTCCGTCCCCTGCTACAGTATTCACCGGCCGGTACCTGATGTCCTTCTGGACGGGCAGTACTAAGATCCACGAGCTGTACACGGCGGCGTGCGGCCTATACGTGTGCTGGCTGTCCATCAGGGTTATCACCGTGCTGCTGGCCTGGATGCCCCAGGGCAGGAGGGTCATTCTGCTCAAGGTCCAGGAGTGGACCCTCATGGTAATGCTCTGCAACACGGTAATGACAAGCAACACCCACCGCCCACACGCCTGACATTTGTCATGAATGAATTCGTCTTCTTCATAACTATTTTTATTGTTTTTCCCCTCACACTGAATTAGAATAAGAATGATGTGATTTTTATACAACAAAATATAATATGTGAAGATGGTTTAAAAGATATATATATATATATATATATATATGTATGTAAAGACCCATATAAGGTATACAATACACATAAGAGTGATTTAAATACTCTATGTTTATATTGGTTATGCTGTTTCTATTATACTGTGCAAGGGCTCATCTCTGTGTGAATGCATGGTTCTGGGTGATAAATGTCCTCTACATAGGCTGAATCAGAATGCAAATTGAAGACATCTCAGTAAAATGATACCTACTGTAGGTGTGTTGAGAGGTCTGTATTTCTAGCCCTCTGTGTTGCCTTGTACTGCACTGTAGATCCTGAAGACAGTGGTCATAGCTGTGTTGCTGGCTGGCGCCATCCCTCTCCTGCTGGGCCTGCTGTTTGAGATGGTCATAGTAGCCCCTCTCAGGGTGCCGCTGGATCAGACACCACTCTTCTACCCCTGGCAGGTACTGTAAGGACCACCCATCTAACACCAATGGCCATATACGTTATGGGATTGCAGTACATTAGATGGAAATGGCAATCTTAAGATTTTAAATTGCACCTAAAACTTTTATGACGCTGTCTTTAGATTGCCTCAATCGGATAACGGATCAAGAGGCAACTACAGCCAACACTGCTGTTTTACTCTTTGTTTCAGGACTGGGCTCTCGGAGTTCTCCATGCCAAAATCATCGCCGCCATTACTCTGATGGGTCCCCAGTGGTGGCTGAAAACAGTGATTGAGCAGGTCGGTCCCACAAGATTGCATTTTTCTATAATGATTATTATTACCTTAATTACTCTTATAAATTACTCTGAAGATGCCATTCATGATATAGCTCAGATTCATTTTGAATATGTGTTGGCATCATTTTGACTTCCTCGTGTTGTTTCCTCTTCTAGGTGTATGCTAACGGAATTCGGAACATTGATCTCCATTTCATCATCCGAAAGCTGGCTGCTCCGGTTATCTGTGTGCTACTGGTGTCTCTCTGTGTGCCCTATGTCATCTCTGCTGGCATCGTCCCCATCGTAGCGCAGTATTCCCCAGGTACGGCAAATATCAGTTAATGAAAGTGGAATTAGTGGTTTCAGGTGTGTGTGAGCATGCGTATGCGAGAGAGAGAGCTATTATTGGTGAGGAAAGTGAGCAAATTCAAGGGATGATCCTCTGATTGCTCTCTCTGCAGGAGTTACCATGGAGATGCAGAATTTGGTGCAGAGGAGAATCTACCCCTTCCTGCTCATGGTCGTCATGCTGCTGGGAATCCTCTCCTTCCAAATCCGTCAATTTAAGCGCCTTTACGAACACATTAAGAATGACAAGTGAGCACCCTGACATTAAGCTCAGCACAGCCACACTTATGACTTATACTTATTGCCAATGCTAACCTGACAAAATGGCTTCCGGATGTCTCTCACAGACTGTCATCACAAAGTCTCCATTATGACAGTGGACCACCATAGTTGCCAGTACAAATAATAAAATAACGTCTCCAAGCCTCTGAGGACATACTTGTTGGCGTTTTTACACTCTAGCCACAGTATGCTTTCATGGCATGGTATTTCTCTCTGAAACTGTATTTTTCTTCTTTCCCAGGTACCTGGTTGGACAGAGACTGGTGAACTATGAACGCAAGGTGGCAGGCAGAAGCACTACAGCCACATACAGCAGCTCTTCCCAGGAGTAGGAGCTGTTAACACCTTACCTGAGAACAGCCTCTAGCTGTGTGGCCTCTCTCCTCCACCGCCTCACTTTTGATGTCTCTCCACCCGTCTCTTCACATTCATGACTCAAGCGCTCTCCTCTCACCATGCCTTATTTCACTCCCTGCTCACAAGCACAGCCTGAGAAATGAGGAGTGCGTTTTACAAAAAAGATTAAAGGCAAAATTACCTTGAAAACCAACCAACTTGGAATCGAAAAATAATGTTTCGTCTTTGTACATCTTGAAAAAAATGTATGTATTTTGTTAATTAAATCTAGATGTCACTTTATTCTGTTCCTGTAGGTCTGGATGGACTACTACAGTATTTTACCTGTTTGACCAGGAGGAGGCAATCCCATTGGAACACATGATGGAGGTTCCACTTTAGAGGAGTGAGGAGCGTGAGACAAGGCTAAAGAACTTTGGGATCAGTTTATGTCATTTTTATTTATTCGTTTGGATTTTCCTTTTTAGGGGTTTAGTATTACACTGTGTGGGTGAGGTTATCTGCAAGAAAGAAAAGTTCCTATTGGAATGGGTGATTTACTCTTTCTGCAGCAGGGTTCAAAGCCAGGAAGTTTTTAATTCCGATTCATGCATTTCGGTTCACTGTCTGACTGACTGGCCACAGAGGAGCTGATGAGTGTTTCAGGCTTCCCTGAATAGCTTTATACTGGCTTGATGGTCTCCTGTCTCAGGCTGGGGTTATTAATGAAATCCCAGCTAGCCAGCTATTTGTATCATGTAGCTCCATTATTTGGTCTCATTTGAGAGAACCCTAAAAGGCTGCTTTTTAGTTAAAGTTACAAGATTGTAACTGCGTGCTCATGACATTTGTGTAATTTCTGCTCTGCATGCTACACATGTTGTACAGAGTAACAGGTTGTTACATATGCATGAATATCAGTCTGTTGCACTTAAGCTTTAACATAGTGGCAATCATTCATAAACCATTTTAATGAAATCAAGTCAGTATTTCAATGTGGTGATGAAACTACAATACAGTTAAGTATGATTTTCTTGACAGGAGTTTTGGATCAGGTTTGACAGTTTTTTTGTCTGTGTTAATGAGATTGATACAATGTTTGTAAATAAAGCATTTCTATGCTTATGGATTGTTTACCATGGCAACAAAACCTATTTTCTTCATTTCAATGTGTAAAATTGGCTGTGTCGGTTGAAGGTTTAAGACTGGATTTTTGACTGTTTCAGAGAGGGTATTAAATGCTGAGATTCTGTATGTGACCGTATAGTATCTTAATATACAAAACTGGATTCTGTCGTTTGCCTGTTGATTTTATTCGGACAAATTTTTAAGCAAATTCCCTATTTTTATATGTGCGTATAGTGTTTAATTGTGTCAGTCTTTTGTCTGCTTCATGTTGTTTTTCTGAGTGGTTAAGTGTGAATTGGTCATCTTAATAAATGGCTGCTTTCCTCACAGAATATCAAATGAAATTGTATTTGTCACATGCGCCGAATACAACAAGTGTAGACCTTACAGTGAAATGCTTACTTACAAGCCCTTAACAAACAATGCAATTTTAAGAAAGAATACCCAAAAAATACCTAAATAACATTTGAAAAAAAAAGAAACAAATAATTAAAGAGCAGCAGTAAAATAACAATAGCGAGGCTATATATAGGGGGTGCTGGTACCGAGTCAATGTGCGGGGGCACCGGTTAGGGGGTAGAAGCCTCTTGGACCTAGACTTGGCACTCCGGTACCGCTTGCCGTGCGGTAGCAGAGAGAACAGTCTATGACTAGGGTGGCTGGAGTCTTTGACAATTTTTAGGGCCTTCCTCTGACACCGCCTAGTATAAAGGTCCTGGATGGCAGGAAGCTTGGCCCCAGTGATGTACTGGACCGTACGCACTACCCTCTGTAGTGCCTTGCAGTCGGAGGCCGAGCAGTTGCCATACCAGTCAGTGATGCAACCAGTCAGGATGCTCTCGATGGTGCAGCTGTTGAACCTTTTGAGGATCTGAGGACCCATGCCAAATATTTTCAGTCTCCTTAGGGGTAATAGGTTTTGTTGTGCCCTCTTCACAACTGTCTTGGTGTGCTTGGACCATGTTAGTTTGTTGGTAATGTGGACACCAAGGAACTTGAAGCTCTCAACCTGCTCCACTACAGCCCTGTCGATGTTTGTTATATTCACACATTTCTGTCAAATTGGACACTGAAGAGATCCGATCGGAGGTCCAAGCAAATTCCAGTAGGCACATGACTGTCCAGAAATTGAGTAGAAAAACACCATGGATGTGAATAGCATAAAATACAGTGGGGAAAAAAAGTATTTAGTCAGCCACGAATTGTGCAAGTTCTCCCACTTAAAAAGATGAGAGAGGCCTGTAATTTTCATCATAGGTACACGTCAACTATGACAGACAAATTGAGATGTATTTTTCCAGAAAATCACATTGTAGGATTTTTAATGAATTTATTTGCAAATTATGGTGGAAAATAAGTATTTGGTCACCTACAAACAAGCAAGATTTCTGGTTCTCACAGACCTGTAACTTCTTCTTTAAGAGGCTCCTCTGTCCTCCACTCGTTACCTGTATTAATGGCACCTGTTTGAACTTGTTATCAGTATAAAAGACACCTGTCCACAACCTCAAACAGTCACACTCCAAACTCCACTATGGCCAAGACCAAAGAGCTGTCAAAGGACACCAGAAACAAAATTGTAGACCTGCACCAGGCTGGGAAGACTGAATCTGCAATAGGTAAGCAGCTTGGTTTGAAGAAATCAACTGTGGGAGCAATTATTAGGAAATGGAAGACATACAAGACCACTGATAATCTCCCTCGATCTGGGGCTCCACGCAAGATCTCACCCCGTGGGGTCAAAATGATCACAAGAACGGTGAGCAAAAATCCCAGAACCACACGGGGGGACCTAGTGAATGACCTGCAGAGAGCTGGGACCAAAGTAACAAAGTCTACCATCAGTAACACACTACGCCGCCAGGGACTCAAATCCTGCAGTGCCAGACGTGTCCCCCTGCTTAAGCCAGTACATGTCCAGGCCCGTCTGAAGTTTGCTAGAGTGCATTTGGATGATCCAGAAGAGGATTGGGAGAATGTCATATGGTCAGATGAAACCAAAATTTTACTTTTTGGTCAAAACTCAACTCGTCGTGTTTGGAGGACAAAGAATGCTGAGTTGCATCCAAATAACACCATACCTACTGTGAAGCATGGGGGTGGAAACATCATGCTTTGGGGCTGTTTTTCTGCAAAGGTACCAGGACGACTGATCCGTGTAAAGGAAAGAATGAATGGGGCCATGTATCGTGAGATTTTGAGTGAAAACCTCCTTCCATCAGCAAGGGCATTGAAGATGAAACGTGGCTGGGTCTTTCAGCATGACAATGATCCCAAACACACCACCCGGGCAACGAAGGAGGGGCTTCGTAAGAAGCATTTCAAGGTCCTGGAGTGGCCTAGCCAGTCTCCAGATCTCAACCCCATAGAAAATCTTTGGAGGGAGTTGAAAGTCCGTGTTGCCCAGCGACAGCCCCAAAACATCACTGCTCTAGAGGAGATCTGCATGAAGGAATGGGCCAAAATACCAGCAACAGTGTGTGAAAACCTTGTGAAGACTTACAGAAAACTTTTCATCTGTGTCATTGCCAACAAAGGGTATATAACAAAGTATTGAGAAAATTTTGTTATTGACCAAATACTTATTTTCCACCATAATTTGTAAATAAATTCATAAAAAATCCTACAATGTGATTTTCTGGAGAAAATAAATTCTCATTTTGTCTGTCATAGTTGACGTGTACCTATGATGAAAATTACAGGCCTCTCTCATCTTTTTAAGTGGGAGAACTTGCACAATTGGTGGCTGACTAAATACTTTTTTTCCCCACTGTACATCCTCTTGTGTTGTATCATGATAATAAGCCTTGCTCAATCACCCCTCCCTATAGCATGTGTGGTTGTTGGGGAGACATTGGCTATTTAACAAATCCCTACAGTACATGGGAGAATACACATATATATATTTTGTCTATAATATTGTACATTACTTGTGATTGTGTGTACGTGTAACTCCTTTCTTCACATTTGAGATAATGATCTGCTCTGGTCAATCACTCTGAATTTTGGCGATGTGGAAATTTGACCCTCTAAGAGGAGCTACTCCATTTCTCACCTTCTCTCAACACTTCTCCCTTTTCCCGTAATGATGGCAGCACTGGGTTCAGAACAGACCATGATGCTGTATCATAGCCAATAACATAATCACACCTGATAGCAGCTGTATATCTACATTAATGCTGAATAATGCAAAGTCAATTGCACTCAAAACAACTGTTTTTCCTATAGAGATATCCTGGTTGCCTGGTTGGCTAGTTCCTAAACCCTTAATCCTGATTGTCAAACTGTGAATAACTTGCAGGTCAAAATGTCTTGTCTCATCCCTCGAAAACATGCATAGTCATTTTAACCAATTGATTACCATCCCAGATCTGCCAAGAAATGTATGGCGTATTATTGTAGGCTGTGAAAACTAATGGTATGACATTTTCCATCAACAGGTGTATAGAGCTCAAGTATGGAAATACAGTGAGCTCCAAAAGTATTGGGACAGTGACACATTTGTTGTTGTTTTGGGTCTGTACTCCTGCACTTCAGATTTAATTTTAGAGTATTTTCATCCATATCAGGTCAACCATTTAGAAATTACAGCCATTTTTTGTACATAGTCGTCGTCGTCGTCCCCCCCCCCCCCACACACACATTTTAGGGGACCAAAAGTCTAGGGAACAATTCACTTACAGTGAGGGAAAAAAGTATTTGATCCCCTGCTGATTTTGTAAGTTTGACCACTGACAAAGAAATGATCAGTCTATAATTTTAATGGTAGGTTTATTTGAACAGTGAGAGACAGAGTAACAACAAAAAAATCCAGAAATACGCATGTCAAAAATATTATAAATTGATTTGCATTTTAATGAGGGAAATAAGTATTTGACCCCTCGGCAAAACATGACTTAGTACTTGATGGCAAAACCCTTGTTGGCAATCACAGAGGTCAGACGTTTCTTGTAGTTGGCCACCAGGTTTGCACACATCTCAGGAGGGATTTTGTCCCACTCCTCTTTGCAGATCTTCTCCAAGTCATTAAGGTTTCGAGGCTGACGTTTGGCAACTCGAACCTTCAGCTCCCTCCACAGATTTTCTATGGGATTAAGGTCTGGAGACTGGCTAGGCCACTCCAGGACCTTAATGTGCTTCTTCTTGAGCCACTCCTTTGTTGCCTTGGCCGTATGTTTTGGGTCATTGTCATGCTGGAATACCCATCCACGACCCATTTTCAATGCCCTGGCTGAGGGAAGGAAGTTCTCACCCAAGATTTGACGGTAAATGGCCCTGTCCATCGTCCCTTTGATGCGGTGAAGTTGTCCTGTCCCCTTAGCAGAAAAACACCCCCAAAGCATAATGTTTCCACCTCCGTGTTTGACGGTGGGGATGGTGTTCTTTGGGTCATAGGCAGCATTCCTCCTCCTCCAAACACGGCGAGTTGAGTTGATGCCAAAGAGCTCCATTTTGGTCTCATCTGACCACAACACTTTCACCCAGTTCTCCTCTGAATCATTCAGATGTTCATTGGCAAACTTCAGACGGCCCTGTATATGTGCTTTCTCGAGCAGGGGGACCTTGCGGGCGCTGCAGGATTTCAGTCCTTAATGGCGTAGTGTGTTACCAATTGTTTTCTTGGTGACTATGGTCCCAGCTGCCTTGAGATCATTGACAAGATCCTCCTGTGTAGTTCTGGGCTGATTCCTCACCGTTCTCATGATCATTGCAACTCCACGAGGTGAGATCTTGCATGGAGCCCCAGGCCGAGGGAGATTGACAGGTCTTTTGTGTTTCTTCCATTTGCAAATAATCGCACCAACTGTTGTCACCTTCTCACCAAGCTGCTTGGCGATGGTCTTGTAGCCCATTCCAGCCTTGTGTAGGTCTACAATCTTGTCCCTGACATCCTTGGAGAGCTCTTTGGTCTTGGCCATGGTGGAGAGTTTGGAATCTGATTGATTGATTGCTTCTGTGGACAGGTGTCTTTTATACAGGAAACAAACTGAGATTAGGAGCACTCCCTTTAAGAGTGTGCTCCTAATCTCAGCTCATTACCTGTATAAAAGACACCTGGGAGCCAGAAATCTTTCTGATTGAGAGGGGGTCAAATACTTCTTTCCCTCATTAAAATGCAAATCAATTTATAACATTTTTGACATGCGTTTTTCTGGATTTTTTTGTTGTTATTCTGTTTCTCACTGTTCAAATAAACCTACCATTAAAATTATAGACTGATCATTTCTTTGTCAGTGGGCAAACTTACAAAATCAGCAGGGGATCAAATACTTTTTTCCCTCACTGTATATGTGTATTAAAGTAGTCAAACGTTAAGTATTTGGTTCCATATTCATAGCATGCAATGACTACATCAAGCTTGTGAATAATGATGAGTGAGAATGTTACAGAGGCAGAACTATCATTCCCCCCAAAAATGCTAACCTCCCCTGTTATTGTAATGGTGAGATGTTAGCATGTCTTGGGGGTATGATATTTGTGCATCTGTAACTTTCTCACTCATCATTATTCACAATTCATTCAGGACGATCCGTAATCATGGAGGCATCCACATGAATATATATATATTTAGAAATATATTATATTCTTATTTTACAATAAAATGTACCCCAAAATGACACAATACATTATTTACCATTCATTTCTATTGGGCACAAAATAATCTGAAGCACAACCAAACCAATCGGCAAATGCATCCAACAAGTTTGTAGAGTCACAAACTTGACGTAATCATTGCGTGCTAGGAATATGGAACCAAATACTAAACTTTTGACTACTTTATTACACATATAAGTGAATTTGTCCCAATACTTTTGATCCCGTAAGATGGGGGGACTATGTACAAAAAGTTCTGTATTTTCTAAACTGTTCCCCCGACATGGATTAACATACCCTCATATTAAAGCTGACAGTCTGCACTTTATTCTTATAGTCATTGTATAATTTCAAATCCAAAATGCTGGAGTACAGAGCCAAAAACACAAAACGTGTCACTGTTCCAATACTTTTGGAGCTCACTGTATGTTGAGGTTGGAAATACTGTTGGCTGCATATCTAATGTTGATTGACCTGGGTTGCTGAATTCTTATTCTAACACCCTTTTCACAGTATCGTGCCGACCCAAACATTAGTTTCAGAATATTGTCCCTTCCAACACAGTTCCAGGCCAGCACAGCTCAGCCCTATCTGGCCCAATAAGATACAGTGCCTTTAGAAAGTATTCATACCGCTTGACTTATTCCACATTTTGTTGTGTTACAGCCTGTATTCAAAATGGATCAACATTTTTTTTCTCACCCATCTACACACAATACACCATAATGACAAAGTGAAAACATGTCTTTTTAAAATCTTTGCAATCTATTCAGGTTATTTTTATCCTGAAAAAACTCCCTAGTCCTTGCTGATAACAAGCATACCCATAACATGATGCAGCCACCATCATGCTTGAAAATATGAAGAATGGTACTCAGTGATGTGTTGTGTTGGATTTGCCCCAAATTTACCGCTTTCTATTCAGGACTTAAAGTTAATTTCTTTGTCACATTTTTACTTTAGTGGCAGGATGCATGTTTTTTAATATTTTTATTCTGTACAGGCTTCCTTCTTTTCACTCTTTCATTTAGGTTAGTATTGTTGAGAAACTACAATGTTGATGATCCATTCCTCAGTTTTCTCCTATCACAGCCATTAAACTCTGTAACTGTTTTAAAGTCACCATTGGCCTCATTTCGAAATCCCTGAGAGGTTTCCTTCCTCTCCGGCAACTGAGTTAAGAAGGACGCCTGTATCTTTGTAGTGGCTGGGTGTATTGATACACCAGCCAAAGTGTAATTAATAACTTCACCATGCTCAAAGCGGATCTGATGAATAGAGCCCTAAATCGCTCTGGATAAGAGCGTCTGCTATAAAAAAAATATGAAAAAAATCTCTGTGATATGTTGTGTTGGATTTGCCCCAGACATACCTATTATAAAGTGATCCTGTTAAAGGTAAATATAGCCTGTGGCATAGACCCTAAATATGGGTCTATACGTGAAGAACGGCTGTCCACTTTTAAACACCAACTGACCTAGTGTTACAACCTGGACTGACCAGAGCCTACTGTACTGTTTGGTTGTTGACAGAACAGCTAATCTGCTCAACTCCAAGATAACACAAAGTCTAGGACGTTATCTTGTTGTTATTGAGTTACGCTTTATAAGAGTGTTTTTATTCTTATTTTAATACCCACTTATTTGGATGTTAATATATTAACTTTACTACATTCTTTTACATAAGGCCCTAGTACACTATTTACTACATAGCAGATCAGGGTTGCCTGGTGTTAATTGTGTACTGATTTGATATTGGGAATAAATGTGATACTCATAAGTAGTTTAGCATTGACCTGACATACAACATCTTTCTAAAGACTTACCAGTCCAGGGGCCTACTTCAGAGGCCTACTTCATCTTGAGTTTGATTGTTAGAATTCTCACTGTGTAATAGAGTGGTTAGGCATGTGTGAGGAGCAATGAAGAGACGAGACTTTCAAGAGGGCTGTTTTTGCCACCCACATGATCACATACAGTACAAATCACTATGGAGCTCAGACAAGCGTGGGAACCGCACTGCCAAAAGGTGCATCTTAAATCTGACACATCCAAGCTACATTAAAGCCTTTAGCTGCATCTAAAATAATGTCAATCAACTACCAAAATAATGTGAATTAGTGGCAAAAAGTGTAGCTATACACTGTTGAGGGAAATGAGGGGAAATGAGGGGGGAAAAAACGTATGTAAGAGGCCATGTTATTTCTGCTGTATCCAATTACCAGTCAGCTAAAACAGAGCTAACAGCAGCCCCAGCCAACCATAGATTAGGGTCATATGCAAATGTAGCACAACTAGTGGGGGTGGGAAGTAAGGAGGTAATGTCATGAAGTCACTTTTATGGGGAATTCCCACGTCACTGTAGGAACTAGTTTTAGGGTATAGGTATGGGTATGACACAAAACCAGTATATAAAATCAAATCAAATCAAATATTATTTGTTTAGCAGTTGTTATTGTGGGTGTAGCGAAATGCTTGTGCTTCTAGCTCCGACAGTGCAGTAATATCTAACAAGTAATATCTAACAATTTCAAAACATATACCCAATACACACAAATCTAAGTAAGGAATGGAATTAAGAATATATACATATATGGATGAGCAATGACAGAGCGGCATGGACTAAGATACAGTAGAATATTATAGAATACAGTATATACATATGAGATGAGTAATGCAAGATATGTAAACATTATTAAAGTGACTAGTGTTCCATTTCTTAAAGTGGCCAGTGATTTCTATAGGCAGCAGCAGCCTCTAATGTGCTAGTGATGGCTATTTAACAGTCTGATGGCCTTGAGATAGAAGCTGTTTTCAGTCTCTCGGTCCCAGCTTTGATGCACCTGTACTGACCTCACCTTCTGGATGATAGCGGGGTGAACAGGCAGTGGCTCGGGTGGTTAATGTCCTTCATGATCTTTTTGGCCTTCCTGTGACATCGGGTGCTGTAGGCGTCCTGGAGGGCGGGTAGTTTGCCCCCGGTAATGCATTCGGCAGACCGCACCACCCTCTGGAGAGCCCTGTGGTTGCAGGTGGTGCAGTTGCCGTACCAGGCAGTGATACAGCCCGACAGGATGCTCTCAATTGTGCATCTGTAAAAGTTCGTGAGGGTTCTAGGTGCCAAGCCAAATTTCTTCAGCCTCCTGAGGTTGAAGAGGCTCTGTTGCGCCTTCTTCACAACACTGTCTGGGTTGTTGGACCATTTCAGTTTGTCAGTGATGTGTATGCCAAGGAACTTGAAACTTTCCACCTTCTCCACTGCGGTCCCGTCGATGTGGATAGGGGGGTGCACCCTCTGCTGTTTTCTGAAGTCCACGATCATCTCCTATCATTACACATGAATGCAATCAAAATGTAGTTTAAAAATGTGGTTGCACAATATCAAAAAAATGTGGTTGTACAAATTCTAAATGATTTGTGAGTTGAGCTTTAGCTATGCAGACCAATAAAAGTAATTACTCACCTACTAAATCTGTACTTTTATCATTCAAGACTTCTGTGTCTGTTCAACTATGCATTTTGAGAGAGAGAGAAAGAGAGAGAGAGCAGAGAGAGAAAGAGAGAGAGAGGGAGGGGGAGAGAAGTGCAGAGAGGGAGAGAGAGAGAGAGAGAGAGAGAGGGAGAGAGAAGAATAACGAGCGAGATAGAGAGATAGAGATCTAGACGAGCATATATGCCGCTTCGCTTTTTCGTTTTTTTCGGAGCCTTATCTCTCTCTTTACTTTTCGGTCATCTTTTCTCTCGTTGGGGGTTCGCGGCGATAGAGAGAGCATATATCCTTAGAAACGAGAGAGCAGAGACTGATTAAAGGGATTATGTAGCGTCAGTTTAGACAATTCTTCTCTTCCACATCGGTCAAAGGAAACAAAATGTTTTACTGCAGGGAACAGAAGATTAGGGTATCAGCACAGCAGGACCTAGACACTGTCTAAAATAATAAAGTGCCTTTTGGTGAACAGCATTTTGTGGGACAACTTTGGCAACAAATTCATTGAAGAGATGAATTCTCAAGCTGTCAGACTGTTGTTGGCTGTTGCCATTTGGAAAGTGAGAAATACAGAAGGCAAATGAAGAGCTGATGGGAACAAGAGGATCCTTTGAGGATAACAAGGTCTTTAATGTCCTTCTAATGCTTCAGGGAACAAGCTTTATTGATGGATTAAAGGGGACATTCTGAGACATCCTCCTCAAGTGGCTTTGGAACCAGAACAAATGTTAGATCACGTTCCAGTTAGGGATCATACTGATTTCTGCTTCTTCTTCAAGACCTAGCTAAGTATTTACACTTTGAATGAGGGTGAATTGGTCAGATGAGATTGGGATTTTGGTGCCTTGTCCTTCTTGTTGTGGTGGATTCTAACCCGGGGGTTAAATGGTGCTGATCACAGAGGACCCAGGTGGAGGTGGAGGGACGTTGATAAAAGTTCAGCAGAATGGGATCTCTGGAGGCCAGGCGGGGGCCGTCAGGGGTCCTAGAAATGAGGAGTTGGAGACGGTCGCAGGCGACGAAAATGAGGATCCTAATGAGGGAGACAATGACGACAACAACTATTACGATGACGACGACGATGATGTCTATCAGGAATTTGAAGAATTTGACTTTGACACATTGCCAGATCTGCCAGAGGATACCAGGAGTATCGCCTCTGATGACTCCTTCTATCCACCTGATGAGTCTCTCAAATACAGGACTCCCAGCCCAGTCACCCCTGAACCTCTGTCCTTCTTCAAGGCCTGCTCCAATAACAATTCCATCATAGTGAAGATTATGATAAGGCAAGGGGTGACAGAGGAGGAAGTGAGAGAAACAGATAAGAACAACAGAGTATGTTTGCGTTGTCATTAAAGAGATTAACTAGTCAATGTTCTCTGTGATTTAGATTATATCCGTATTATCAAGACAAGGCCTACTGTACAAACGTATAACATGGTCTCTGTTTCAATGTCCACACTAGCATCCTACTTAGAATTAAGTGTATAATGCTTTCTATGTGGTATGCTAGTATGGACATTGGAATATAGATCTTTGTAAAGCAGGTTTCCACAAGATCTCCACCGATCAAGAATAAGCTTTATGGTGATTTCATATGAAAGACAGCACACATTTTAGGCTTTTTGCTCCCGTTTCTGCATGAGACAGAAGTGTTTTGTACTAGACACCCAAACTGTGTCATTTCTGTGGACAGTGACAATATCAGAGGAATACTCAGAGCAGTTGGTTAAGCCCTGGAACAGATGGGGGGGGGGGGGGGGGGGGGATTCCAGTTTGAGATGGCGTTGAAGCAGCTCGTAATCATGGCTGAGCTTTTAAAAGGTTCACCCAAGATATCAGGGTGCAGCAGTACAGTACTAAGAGGGGATTGGTGCTTCAAATCCCTTATTCTACACACCATTAATGACCATCATGGCTACATAACAGGTAGGGTTAGGCCTAATGCAATTTTGGATGTGTTTCTCACTGCTGTATCCTCATCAGTGGTAAAGCAATAATACTAGGGATATAACACAGCAGCCTATGCATTCAGTGACTACTATTGCACAATATTTTCAAAATGTGTTGCATGTAGATTCCAGATACAGTAGTTCCATGATTTCCCTCAGTATCTGATCAAGCTGAGAAACAAGGCTCACCCACTGACCTTTTTATTCCCTTCTCACGCCTGTGAAGAGACAGACTAATACAGTATAAATAAGTGGAGAAGTCTGCTGTCATGCTATACCTACAGTAATGGCACATGTGTCTGGATGGATAAAGGCAAATGCCCTCAGTTGTTTCACGTTACATCCTATACTGGCATGACATGAGCCCTAATGTGTAGTTTGTATAGATGTAAACAAACACACACACAGCAGTGTTTTTAAATCAAACACACTCTGAATGTGGACTGTTTGAGCAGAGTAAGACCTTACTTTGGCAAATCTAAAACTGCACTTGTCTTTTTTCCAATTGACCCAGACAGCTAGTGGGGCCAAGATGTTCTCCTATGGGTTGTTCATAGATGGGGTGTCGTTGTCAGAGACTTTCAGTTTTAATTCCTTTTTGGTCCCAAAGATTTGGTCTAGGCCTACCTCAGACCTTTACCTTAGCTGACTATGTAAGCCATAAGCAGTGAGAATACTGGAAACTCTGCTGATACTTCAGGTTTTCCTGATTAGTGGGCAAAACTCTTTGTTTACAGTACACATTTTGAGTTTTCTTCAGATGGCTTAATGGTGATTGGTTGTACAGTAGCCTTATTGACTGGGCATTTCCCCAAATCGAGAAACTGGGTCATTGAGCCACTCTTATATACTGTTTACTATACGGTCATTATGCTATCTTACCATAGGGCTGGTGGACTGTGATTAGTACTGTAGGCAGCAGCAGGCAGATGGCTCAGAAAGCTCTAGAAAGACTATTAGCTGAGACTTAACTTGGAATTCAGTTAGGGATCATTAGGCCTGTCAGTTGGGGATCATTAGGCCTGTCAGTTGGCATCTCTGGCTATACATCACCCTCCAAGCGTATACGTGTATCAGTGTTGCTCCAAGCATTTGTTTATTTTGTTAGATAGATAGTTTATATTCTACCGTGTCAACACAATTCTAACACCACGCACCTAGAGCTAGAGTAGCTGTTAACTTGCCTAAAAGAGCAGAGCTATTGATCCAATTGACTCTGTGAAACAACCGTGGTGGCATAATGAGCACTGAGTCCACGGTCTTAAGACCATAAGGCTCCAGGGAGTGTAACAGTGACAGAGTCTTGGGTGGGTGAACTTGCCTTGTGTCCTTAGTTTGCTACATCGTCATTCATAAGCACTAGCAGCAGTCACGTCTGGACTTGTGTATCTTTCTTGAGATCTAATGTAGACAAGTGACGTACTGGTAGTTGTGTGACGTACTATACCTTATGAGCAAGGTCAAATGTTAGAGTTGAACAGTATGGCACTGTGCGTCAACAGATTGACCTTGAAGGCAGTAAACATACATTGTTATCATCCAAAAAGAGAGCTATGTCACTGATCTTTGCATGTGGTTTGTGTTTTGCAGAATGGGCTGATAGTAGCCTGTTACATGGGCTGGGTGGATGTGGTCATAGCACTCTCTCAGTGCCCCCACATCGATGTCAACTGGCAAGACAACGAGGGGAATACAGCCCTCATGACAGCTGCTCAAGCAGGTAAGAATCCACAGCTGTTTTAAAGCTGAAGTTTTGTTGGTTCCTAGTACAGTATATTTTGGGAATGTGTCAACACAAATATGATTATTCTAAATGAAAACAGCCAGATTAAGCAAACAGATGTTTTGATCTGGAAATAATGAGTTGAATTCAACATGTTTCATTGTGAATAAGGTGAATAACACATTTGGTTTATTTTTCAATGCCAGGTCACATTATGATATCCAGCTACTTGATCAACTACTTCCCCAACCTGGACCTAGAGCGTAGGAACTGCCATGGATTCACCGCTATGATGAAGGCAGCCATGCAAGGGAGGGCAGATGTTGTTCGTTTGCTCATGATGTCAGGTAGAGCTAAATATTTAGTATTTCTATGTAATTTTTACAATATTTACACCCCCATTGGCCTGTACACTTAACAGTTCCCATAAACAAAGAAAATAATAAATTACAATTGAATAACAATGCATTTAATGCCTCTCTCTATCTGTGTATTCCCTCTACTAGGAGCGGACGTGGAGGCGAGGGACTACGGGCGCAAGATGACCTCCAGGGAGTGGGCTTTGTTCACATGCCGCTACGAGACGGCCTACCTGATGATGCGTCTGATGACCCAGCCTTGCGCCGAGCAGTTCTGTGACTCCTACAAGCTGGAGTGGCCCATGTTGCAGGAGCTGGTGGCCCAACGCCAGGAACCCAAGAGTTGCTGGCAGAAGGTGGCAGACAAGGCCTGCTGCAGGTTCTCACTCCGCATGAAGACGGACCCCGTGGACGATGGTGTGATGGACCACATGGTGCGCATCACCACCGCCCTGTCCAGCCCATTGATCGCCACTGCCTGCCACACTGTGGCCCCGAGAAGCCCGCCCTGCATCGGGAAGCGGCGCTATGCTGTACCGGAGATCCTCAGGAAGCAGCGTGTGGACGAGCTTAAGCGCCTGGGCCCCGACCGTATCAACAACTACCAGAAGCTGTTCAATAACTCCCGGGTGCAGCTGGTTCCTAAGAAGAGGGACCGGAGGGCCAGCCTGCAGACCCAAATGTTGCAGGAGGTTGCGGTGGCCGGTACGTCGGCCCTGAGGCGTGCCAGCTTGCTTCCCCTGAACATGATGAGGAGGAGCAGCGTCAGGCCGGGCATTGTGGTCCCCAAGGTGAGGCTGTGCAAGGCCCCCTCCGGGCCTGCCTCCGAGAAGAGATGGAAGAGCAAGGACCCTGCGCTCCTCCAGCTCCCCAAGTGGAGGTACAAACAGGCTAAGGAGGAGAGGAGGAGGCAAGAGGAGGAGAAGCAGAGACGTTTACCCACAGTGAGGAGACGGTGAAAGACTTGAGCTATGAGGAGAGGTCAAAAACAATTTCAGGAGCCTTGGTTAGGCAAGCCAACCTTTTATTGCAATTGGTTCTGAGCTGAGGAGTTGAAGTGATCACCTGCATTCGAGATTTTAGGGACTTTGCCACTAGATTATACTGTAGCCATGGAGCACCATGTCTTCCTGTCCCACATTGGGTACTCTGTTTCTGGCTTTTGACAGTGTTGGGACGGGAACACTTGGCTTGAACTGTGCACTCACTGTGAGGAATTCATACTTGAACTTTGATACAGATTTATTTTTGTATGTATTCTTCAGATCATGACTATGTTTGATATTTCCATTGTAAAAGGATAACTCACGCTCACACAATATTACCTCTGCACATTGTTTATTGTGTCAACGTATCGGTCAGAGACCCCCCCATAATATTGATACCTACTGCATATTTATGTTTGTCTGAATGTTAAGGATATTCTCAAAGCAGACAGTACACTAATCAGTTGGATGTTTCCTCAACTGTTAATAAAGGATACATATGTGTATACTCCCCTATGTATTTGGACATTGAAGCTAAAACTTTTAATTTGGCTCTATACTCCAGCATTCTGGATTTGAAATCACATGCTTTATGAGGTGACAGTACAGAATGTCACCTTTTGTTTTCATACATATCTGTTTTACCATTTAGAAATGAATGCACTTTATGTATCTAGTCCCCCCCATTTGAAGGTGTCATAAGTATTTGGAGAAAATAGTGATGTGATCATGAATAGACATAAGAAGGAGCAAAACAGTCTTCTGCAGGGTAATGGGATTTCACCATACAGACATGGCAGCAGGGACGGCCTGTTCAATAGGGCGATATGGGCGACGCACTGCCAAACGGGAAAAGGAAGGGATTTTTTTTCTAATCAATTATATCACGGCAACAGTAGTTATCAGTGTTGTAATCTATACGTCTGATCTGCCACAGTGCCACACTGCCACTAAATGTCGAATCAGGCTAAAGTCGTGCTTCAAATGGCTCCACCCCCTTTTGGGGCGATTTCAGTCAGATTGAAAATCGCCCAGAACTTCTGTCATAGACTCCCATGTAAAATATATTTTTTAAATTTCAGAGCCTTCAATACAATCTCAATGGGTGTCTGTGGGCTTGCACTTACGTGCTTTCGTCATACGTTACGTAACCATGAACGTAACTGAGAAAAGAGTGGATTGTTTGAAAGAAAAGTTCCTTTTTGTCGGCGAACAAATGAAGATAAATTGGCAACGAAACAATTAGGACCTCCCAGACCAAATTTAATAATTCAACAGGTTTCTACTAAAGGCGGAAAGTCCTACACCCGAGGATTTTCCAAAAATTGGTACGAACGAAAAAAGACATTGCCACTCACTCAACTGGATGACGAGGGATACAGGCTAGCTGTCCGCCGCCACAACGATGAGGTTAGTGTTGATAATCACAAGTTTACTGGATGTGGATATGGTGTAATAAAGGCAGTTTATTCAGAGGTAAATATATCTGGAATCGCGTTCACGGACCCGTTCGTCAAACTCTTAGGGAGCTATAAATTAAGCCCCATTACTTACCATATCAGATAAGAGAAATTGCTGCAGCTACATATATTTTACATCCTGGCCCTACATAGTTCACTATTTGCATCACTTACCAAAATATTACATGTGGTCATATATGCTTGGAAAGTGGAGATGCCATAGAACGTCAAAAAAGTAAACATTGCTGGAGACACATTGCCGTTTTGGAGAAGACATGTGGTCCTCTGTAGCTCAGCTGGTAGAGCACGGCGCTTGTAATGCCAAGGTAGTGGGTTCGATCCCCGGGACCACCCATACACAAAAAAAAAAAAAAATGTATGCACGCATGACTGTAAGTCGCTTTGGATAAAAGCGTCTGCTAAATGGCATATTATTATTATTATTATTACATCGCGTTTGCTAGCGAAGAGATTTGTTGTGGCAAATGAACTTGGGCTGGGAATTGCCAGGAACATCACGATAAGATATATGCATCAGCATTGCGAGTCTCATGATTCTATACGTATTGCGATTCGATACTGTGATTTTATTGCGCACCATATGTCTGTTGCAGAGGGATCAGAAAGCCATGAGAACGAGTTTTGATCAGTCATGGAAATAAAAGTGCTGAAAACAAATTGGCTCCCAATGTGAAAAGATTGAGAACAAGCTATGAAGGAACAATAATGGTGTTTTGGTGCAGGTACAGCCAACTAGCGCTAAAATATTGCGATATTGTCAATACAGTATATCGTAAAGTATCACTATGTAACTCGATTTCTTTCACCCCAATCCCTCAAATTAACGGTAAATAACTGAATTGTTTGCCCCACATTTAGCTAAGATGATTAGCTAGCCAGCTAAAATGTTTTAGTTAGTTAGCAGTCGCATCTACAATAGTTTACTGTCAATAACATGTCTCCAAAAATGACGTGGTGTCTCCAATTGTGTTGACATTTTACAATTGCAATGCGCATCCATGAGTATCCACTTTCTGTAGCTCAGCTGGTAGAGCATGGTGCTTGTAACGCCAAGGTAGTGGGTTCGATCCCCGGGACCACCCATACACAAAAATGTATGCACGCATGACTGTAAGTCGCTTTGGATAAAAGCGTCTGCTAAATGGCATATTATTATTATTATTATTATTATCTGAAGAGAGCCCCGAAACATTGTGTGCAGACATTTTATGCAATAAATGAAGTAGGTTCAATCTAGTAGTTCTGATCTTCTGATTGGTCCTGATGAGTTGGGCGAGGTCCCCTGCAGGCTACTGTCACTGTTGCATTGGCTCTGAGTCGGGTTCTCTGTCTTCAAATGTTCAGCCTAAGAGAGGGGATTTTTGTGTGTGTGTGTGTGTGTGTGTGTTTAACAGTGATGATGTGTGTGTGTGTGTGTGTGTTTAACAGTGATGATGTGTGTGTGTGTGTGTTTGTGTGTGTGTGTGTCCTCAGAGCAAGAACTCGTGAGTTGGAAGAACTGAGAGGCCTATGGCGTGGGTGTTGTCCTTGGCCACCTGCTGACAAGATAGGACCCTTTTGTCCATTGTTATTGGATAGGAACAGAACTTATAACCAGCTCCTGACCTAAATAGATCTTAGCACAACATTTTACTCAACATATCATATTCCATATTCACTATAACAAATATATTTACTACGACATTAGCAAGAACCGCCACATCCTCAGCCGGCTAATCCAGTGTGTGAAGTTTTGCGGAGTGTTTGAGTTAGCTTTGTGAGGCAAAGATGAAACTGAGGGCTCCACCAACCCTGGTAAGCCAACACTTTTGAGATCAGTCAATAAATGCTTCTGGTATTGACTTATATGCTGCCCCTGTCTTCATGTTGTTGCTGGACATATCTTTTTTTAAATGTGTGTAGGTCACCTAAATCATCAGAAAAATTGCCCCTCCTGAGAATTTTTTCAGGAGCCGCCACTGCATGGCAGGACAGGTGGGGAATTATCCATTAAAATAACACAGCAATGAGCCTCTGTCAGTATGCCCAGTGGGTACTCATTCAGGTAGATTCAGCTGAAAGAATGCAAATTGACCGTTTGACTGGGCAATTCAAAAGGTGCCTCAAGATTAACTCAATGCAATGAATAGGTGATGTAGGTCTCTAACAGTAGGCTAAAACTATTTGGCTTCCTATCAGTCAGAAGGCTATGTTACAAAGGCAATCCACCACAGGATGCGGTGCCCCTCCACATGAATATCATTGAATATTCAAAATGGTCCAGGTGATTATATAACTGCTCTATGTTCTCTGCAGCACCACATATTTGCATAATCACAACATTACATAATATTAGCATTTTCACATTCATGAAGAGAGAAAATAAAATATTTAGTTTACTGTTCCAAACTAATATCATGCAGTCAGTATATTGAGCACACTTCTGCTTAGTTGCATCGGTATCGGTATCTGCAGTGTGTATCCCAGTAGTACTAGGGTCGTCACTAGTTTCCACAGCCCATAAGTCATAAACCCCGCCTATTTCTACATTTTCTCTTCTTAAAATATGGTTTAAAACCTAATCCTAACCTTAACCTTCATCACACTGCTAACTTTATGCCCAACCCTAACCTTAAATTAAGACCACAAAGCTCATTTTAGTTTTCATTAATGTTTAGATAAATCCAAGGGTGGCTTTGTGGCTGTGGTAAATAGTGGAAACCAATACTAGGCCGAATAGTTTTTATAACTAAACCAAGATAGACCACAGACCTTCGTATCAAATGGAAACAAATTAGTCATAGTGGGCAGAACAAGCAAGGCCAAGCACGAGTTAGCGAGATTTTATTGGCGCGTTCTAGTATATATTTGCATATTTCCGTTAGGGAACGCCTGGTCTTTGAAGTGCGCATGTGCAATAACTCGTCGCCTTTGCACACCTTCTAAACAACGCAATTTGTTAAAACGTTAGCAACGGGTAAAGTCTACTAAACTTAGTCCACTCTGTTCATAAGATATCCTAGTTTTGGGAACAGAAAACTGTATTGAGATCAAATGTTTCAGCGATGAGAAAATTAGCAGAATGTCGGCCAAAATCAAATCTCGTTCCGTCTTCTCCCACTGCCGGCCACTGAGCTTCCTCTCACTACCATATTTGGTAGTGAGTGGAAAAGCCAAGCGGATGCTTCACATTTATACATCCGGGGAAATATCTGTGACTAGGCCTTGCCGAGTGAAATGGCAGACCTGACCTGCATGAGGAGAGTTGTCCCCGAGATACCCACTAGAGGGCACTGCAGACTGGTCCAAACTGTTGACATTGACATACAGTCAGGCTACACAACGCATGCTGCTTCCCAGCACAGGCCTCAGAATGATGGATTCTCCCAGGATTAGCGAAGCAATTAAAAATTAAAGGGATACAATGGAATATTCCATCTCTTACATTCTAAAGCATAGATCGCTTCTTTTCAGATACACTAATGCTGTATCTGGCACACTGGTGAAAAATGTGAGCATTTTCACAGAAACATCATAGGCCTTCTTGTGCCTCCATTCATCCATTCACAATCTATGTTCTTAGCTTTTAGAGTGCTGTTTTGGGAACGTTTCTCATGAAGCTGTGATGATCCTATGGCAGACAGCAGAGAGGCCAGGCCACACATTTCTGATGGGCGCCACAGTGGCACGACAATGCATGGATGGTAACCTCGGGTTTAGCATTACCCAACTAGGCCAGCAGCATGGCAATTAACACCTATCACAGTGGTAATCTCCCAAGGCAGCAGCTCACACAGACCTGTCTGCATTACCTCCACTCAATGTCACAGAGAAAACATTTAGAGAGAAACTGTAAGGACACCCCTCACTCAGTCTGCTGTCCTCTGTCCCCTGGCTGGTCTGGCTGTGGAGGATTTCTATCAGATTCTGATTGGTTTGAAACTCTTCACTAAGCCTTGGGAATAGGAAAATGTGGATTGGAATAAGAAAACAAATTCTTTATACAAAAAAAATACTCTCAAAGTAACTGCAACATGCTAATGTAATCGTCAGCACGTCTAATAAAAATTGCTGTAATTTTGAATTAGTGGAATCCAAGCTACAAAACAAAGATAGGAGCTTTGTACGGTGGTTTTGACTTCTTAACAGTCCCATTCCATTAGCAAAATGAGTTCACTGCACTGAAAGAATTTGGGAAGTGTCTGATTGGAATGTTAATTAAAATCTCACACTTTTTTTTATTCCAGAGTGTTACACCAGTCTGTCTCCCTTAGTTACAGGGGACGTTCAGGAAACACTATTTTCTGAATCTGGAACATCACCTCATCAAATCACCACTCAGACACACAGGGCATTGTCTCATCCACAACCGTGTCTCATCCACAATGTGATTGCAGATCAAACTTGGTATTTGAGTTGAGTTCAATTACTCTCTATTACTAAACTATATGCACATATTCATGTAGAGGAGTAAACATCATTCTTCTGGCTGAACCAAAGGTTTTTCGAACACAGAGAGCACAGACAGACCACACACAAAGAGTTCTTCGCAACGAACAGACAACCCCCAAAACAGTGACTCTTAGATGATCAGTTTATATTTTTGTAGCAGTTTCAATCTGTTGAGGCAATAAAAAGTTTCACAAGTCTTTAAAACACATTGTCTAGCAACAAAAAGGTTACTGACATAGTTCAGTACAGTTTGTCAGGTATGCCTACTTTTCACAAGGACTGTGTCTGTTTTCAGATGCTAACTAATGAGAAGGGGGAACGTTGTAGGATATGTTGAACAATTTGGGTGTTTTCATTTATTAATTGTTCAAGCATTTGAAGATAACCTAGAGACTTCTAAACGATATGTAGGGGAGACCAGAGCTTCTTTTCAACTTTTAACATTTATATTTTCTCTCCTCCATTCAGTTTTAGTGTGTAGCCTACCACTATTTTGTTTCACATTGACTAAAATAAGATTTGTTCATGCATTAGTGGGCAAAGTAATACTTTTTCTCTCTATGTTGCCACATAACGTTATTGTAACATTTGATCAAAGGAGGGCTCAATATGGAACCGTGTGTCATGCTGGGGAAAGGTTGTTACAGGGTTTGTAGAAAACTACCACTGTTTTCTTTGACAGATAAACACACACACACTGGATCATCAGCTCCGTTGTTGATAACTGTTTGAGGAAATACTGAGGAAATCCAACAAGGATAAAGGGGATCATTTTCATAGTCGGTGATGAAAGACATTCACCTGTGACAATTTCAATATTCAAAGCTAGGGACATGAAGTGGCAAAATACATTCTGTAAACACCAAAATACAAAGATCTGTAGGTATAACTTTTAGCACCTTTTCTTGTAGTTGTGAGGTCTGTGACAACTTCCGTAAATGGTGGATATTCAGCCCCTGGTCTCCCCTATTTCACATAGCAACAACATGACTACACAGAGTCAACATTTCAGTGTGTAGACCAGAAAATTAAGGTTAACAAAATCCTACATGTATTTTTGTACAAGTCTTTTCCATAATGTTGCTGCTTTAAGTGACATCCACATCTCCACATAAAAAGTATATATTTATATTTATATAATATATATTCATACTCTATTAACAGTTTAGTCTACCATGAACTTAATTGCCACCCATCTCTGAAGAAGAAAAAAACGGACTTTCTCAAACATTGATTATTCTACAACACAGTCAACTAACTTGTACATATTTGGAGGGAATTAAGCTCTCAAATATATTATTTTCACCCCCTGGTAATGTTCCAGTCTTGTTACGGTGTATATATAGCTTTATTCCATTGAAACACATTAAAAAAAGCATTTACAAACTGGCATCATTAGAACCAACAACTTGCTGTTGAATGTAAACTTCAACAGAAGTTCAACGTTACCCCTCAGCTTGGAGATAACCGTGTTTGGCACATAAAAAAAAAAAACTGACAATGAGCACAGTTCACAAGGAGGCTTGTGGAGGAACAAACTTGTTTTCATGTAGCACAGCGTTTTAGGAAATAAAAAGTATTTGGAGTATATCTACCGTCCATCCGTAAACTGTTTTAGGCAGTGGAAGAGCACCAAGCGAGTGGAATGATGCTGTTGAGCCGCTTACTCCTTTAGGTCCACCAATTCACATAATCAGATTAGCAATAACTTTGAAATTCGTCCTTCATTTTACTGCGAAGACGTATTTCATTGCTTGTAGCAGTTTGTTTATGTGCAGACATTGTACTCTCTATTATCTCCCCAGAAAGTAACAGACAGATTAACGTTATGCTGAGACACTAAGGAAAGGGACACAGGCAATTGTGTAATATACACAATGCACATGTATCTCTGTAATGTACATCAAATACTTTACACCAGAATTAAGAATTAAAAAAGTAGAAATAAAAAAAGAATTATAACAAATCAAAAGATACAAAGTCTAGAAGCAATTATTTTGCCCAGAGAGGCAGACTCCTTACACACAACACAGGTTGAAGCTGTACGTTAAAACCTAATAAGAGTTTGTGACTGACAACTATTCTCTAGCGTGTGTAAATGACACTTCATTTTCTTGTGCTTCACATACTAATCTCTTTACTATACCACATATTTATAGTTGTCTTCCTTTGAGAATACTCCTGATCATCTCCAAGATATTCCGCTCCTCACACTCCAACGCTCCAAGCTTCTGGTGGTGACCCCATCATTTAACACCTTCCTTTTGCCTTTTGTGAGTTGTTTCTTTACAAGATCATGCCCTTTCTTTCTTATTTCCTCTTTCCCTCCTTCCTTCTCTCTTTTTGACTAGCATTCTATTCCTTCTACTCTGTGACTCTCTTTCTTTCTTTCTTTCTTTCTTTCTTTCTTTCTTTCTTTATTTCTTTCTTTCTTTCTTTCTTTCTTTCTTTCTTTCTTTCTTTCTTTCTTTCTTTCTTTCTTTCTTTCTTTCTTTCTTTCTTTCTTTCTTTCTTTCTTTCTTTCTTCAAAGACACATGGGCATGGGACCTCTCTCTCTAGGACAAACTAAACTCGCTGAAGAAATGTCTTGTGGTGTGCATGCACATGCATGGCCTGTCTGTCTCACTCTCTCTCGGCTCCTCTCCCCCATCACAGCACAGCACACTGCTGACGACCAGTCCTCCCTCTATAGTCCACTAGACCCAGGAGTCCGGGGAGGCCGGGTAGTGACTAGTCTCATAGTTGAGTTCACTATAGGGGCGGGACGCTGAGTAGAAGTCCACATAGTTGCCGGTGGACTTGAGGCCCAGGTGCATGTTTAAGTCTGTGGCCTGGGGAGGGCGCTGGTGCACCTGGTCCTCGTAGAACACCTCCTCAAACTGTACACCAGGAGGGTTCTGGAATGGAGGGTAGGGCTCCTGGACTGGGTTGGGCCCCTGAGCAGAGACCTATGGAACACACAGAGGTTAGAGCACTACTCTGCTACTGGAGAGAGAGTACCTAACAGTGAGTGTTGCTCTTATAATGATATCAAGTCATTTCTTCATTCCTTACTTGGTTGTGTTTGATGTCATCACTGGGAGAGACGTAGGCACCTCGGAACAATGTTGAGGTTCCACTTGAGATTTCAACTACAGGTGGGAGAGAAACAGAGAGAAGGTATGTGGTCATTGTTACCAAGATGATTATTATAAAATGACAAAAAGGCTTCACACATGTTTTAGAGTACACCTCATCTGATGAAAACACACTGCATCCAGAAACGAGGAGGAATCTGATGGAGGCCCTGAAATTCCTTCCTACCTGCCATGGCGTCTTTCCTCGAAGTGTGCTCACCCTTGTTGCCATGGTAACTGGCATTGGTGCCCGTCGACTCGTAGTCTGTCTTCCGCTCCTTGAGGCTGATCATCTCTCGGGGAGAGGCAGGAGCACTTGCTGCAAACACACAGATGACATATCACGTACACCATTAGCAGGAAAATACGTTTGACACCTACTTGACTCCCTTCATCATTATTAATCCTCCCACTCTCCTACATTGACACATTCTGTTGATACAAGGAAGCTGAGAGTAAAGCAGCTGATGACATCATCAGATAACGATTACTGTGCCATAAAGCGGCACAAAGAAAACATGCATGTAATGAAAACAAATACGTAGGCCTAACTAAGTGGGGATCTAACATCCAGAAATGGCTCTTCTATGAAATCTTTCCTTAGAGAGTTTATTGCTTTCTAATAGGATCCATTAAGTTCAGTATTTCCACTTTTAATTTAATTACACTCCAATTAGAGCACCATGTAACTGTAATGTCCCGAACAGAATCGACAAACACCCTCTCGTCCAAGAAAATCCTCCTATAATCACCCTTAAATGCAGCCAAAGGCTACAGTACCAATTTCTAGGTTTTAATAACAGTAGTATAAAATGACCTCTTACATTGACATTTTAGTCATTAAGCAGATGCTCTTATCCAGAGTGACTCAGTGCATTCTGACGACTATTCAAGTTTGTAGGTGTATTCTGCTTTGGCCCTAACTGCCCCCAGAGCTAACTGTGCCTCCCAAGGTCTCTCCTATGAGGCTGCTGTGGTGATGAACAGAGCCTCAGTTGTGGCATTCAAACCAGCCGTGAGGAAAATCTGGGGGGGGGGGCAACGTCTGGCAATTAAAGCTCTAAAGCCTTGTGAGTTTGCAAAAAATGTCCAGTATTTTAATACTATGGGGTAAAGAGAGAATACATCTACACACTGACATGCAGAGGGAGAGACAACAGTGAACTAACCTGAGCGATTATTGGGAGATGTCCGTACGGGTGAGATGGATGGGGTGCGGGAGGAGGAATATGGTCTTTGTCTATCTCTTTCTATTGTAGAGGATGAGCCCACAAAATGATACTGAGAATATCCATCCTGGGGGAAAAGAAGATGCATAAGGGATCTAACAATAATGGACTGATCTATGAAACAAAAATCTAATTTTATTTGTCACATACACGTGTTTAGCAGATGTTATTGCGGGTGTAGCGAAATGCTTGTTGGAAGTTTAACGCATTAGTCTCTGTAGTGTCCTATACTGCTGACTAGGCTGTAGGATCATACTCTATGACCATACTGTAAGATCTAAGATCATACTCTATGACCATACTGTAAGATCTAAGATCATACTCTATGACCATACTGTAAGATCTAAGATCATACTCTATGACCATACTGTAAGATCTAAGATCATACTCTATGACCATACTGTAAGATCTAAGATCATACTCTATGACCATACTGTAAGATCTAAGATCATACTCTATGACCATACTGTAAGATCTAAGATCATACTCTATGACCATACTGTAAGATCTAAGATCATACTCTATGACCATACTGTAAGATCTAAGATCATACTCTATGACCATACTGTAAGATCTAAGATCATACTCTATGACCATACTGTAAGATCTAAGATCATCCTCTATGACCATACTGTAAGATCTAAGATCATACTCTATGACCATACTGTAAGATCTAAGATCATACTCTATGACCATACTGTAAGATCTAAGATCATACTCTATGACCATACTGTAAGATCTAAGATCATACTCTATGACCATACTGTAAGATCTAAGATCATACTCTATGACCATACTGTAAGATCTAAGATCATCTGGTCAAATAGCAAATGGGTTTGGAACTATCCACACATTCAAATAAGGAAAAAGGAGAACGTTACAATAATGACACCAGTCTTACAGTGTATGTTTTTCTCCCCCTCTTAAAGCCCTTAAACCTTCCAATTCTTAATCTGTCTTTCATTAAAGCATGTTTATCTACTCTCCTCAGGTCAACATTGAGAGATTCTTTAGTTCATTAAACTGCAGCCCAGAGGGATTCCAGCTTTACTCTCACTATCAATTCATGCACTTAGTGAGCTTGCTGAACTGTGTCACACATGACACATTAATTGCTGTACAGTATACATTTTTGCCCTTTACCTCGTCTCTCTCTCTATTTCTCTCTCCCGCTCTCCATCTCGCTCCCTTTAATAAAAGACTAAAAAGCAACTGCTCAAAACTGTCTAAGAGGACACTCCAGAGACTAATGCGTTAAACTTCCAACAGCTCCTTCAGCAGAGGTCTTGTGGTGGCAGCAAGTTCTTTGTTTTACACACCTTTTTGTAGAGACCGCGAAGGTCTCTGTACTGCCACATACTGTTGAGGACTTGAGAGGCTGCTTTCACCACTTTGGGTGTGTGTCTGGGAAGAGAAAAGCTACACTTTATTTTCCTTGGATGAATAGAACAAAATGTTCTCATCAAAAGGTATTGAATGCTCGCTGCTGGATGAAAGATCACCAGTACAAAAACATTAAAAAAACACAAATTCAATAACAAAAGAATACAAACGAACATTAAATGGAAACAAGGTCATTCTGTGCTTCAGCACCATAGTCATTCTTGCCAAAAAAATTGAAATGGATAAACGCAATTAACAGAGATAAATCCAATCAGTTTAGCATCAGAGGCCCCTCTCTCTCACACATCTTCCATCCTCTACTCTATCTCAGCACACAACTCCACAAGCCACAAATGTCAGTGCTAGAGGTGATTCAATTAACCAAGCATCCTCCATTCTGATTCACACCAGAGATATGGAATAATCATCAAGTTATTACATCATAGCACTGTAGATACTGTATAGCCACACTTCTCTTCTCTCAAGACTCTTAAAGAGTGTTTTTGTCTTACACTCAGATAACACACTTTGGTAATTTCTTCTCTATGGGGTAATGTATTCTTATAGAGTCCCTGGTCCTTGGCAACATTGAGTGAGTGCATCACAGGACTATGAGGAGAGGGAGCCAAGGTACAATACCCAATTACCTTGCTAATGGCAAACTAAAAGCTCCTAAGGAAGAACTGTTTTCATAAAATCCCAAAACAGAAAACAGAAAACCCCCAATTAGGTACATTTAAAAGGCATTTCTTTACAGTGGTGAGTTGTAGGGAAAACATCATAAAAACATCTCCTAAAGTGAATTTAGAGGGAAACTAACAGAACTAGTATTTACGAACAGTACTTGTGTCCCGATCAGCAGTTACATTCCTTTACATTAGGGTTGAAGGTTAGGGTGAACAGAGTCTCTCTTGACAGTGTGATAACATGTTATATAAAGTAGCTGGCCAGCACGCATGCAACATTTGGTTCTAGGTTAGAAGATTAGAGTGAACACAGCATGACTTCTGGACACCTACTTCTCTCCTTTGCTCCTGGCGATACCGATGAGTTTCTCGATGCCTCCAGCGTCACGCAGAGCCTTGGTGTTCTCCATGTTCTTAGTGATGACCTCGTGCAGGGCACAGCAGATAGCTGTGATGGTGTCGTCCGACATGGTCTTCCCAATAGCACCGGCAGCAGTCCCACCACTGCTGTTGTTGTTGTTGCCCCCGGGCAAACGGTGGACCAAGTCTCTCATTGCGTACTTGCCTGTTGTGGAGAGAAAGAGACCTCATGGTTAAGTTATACTGTACATTAACATTTAAATCTATGTGCTACCATTTAGGAAACAGATTATGAAAACCATGGATGCAGAAAACAATATTCTGCGATTTGATTTTGATTTGAAATAAATATGTCAAACATGCTCTCCACGAAGCAATGTTCTGTTTGTGACCAAAATCCTTTGTAAGTCAGTAGTGGCTTCCTGGCTGGTCTTCAACCCCTTGTCTAACCCTATGAACACTCAGCAGGAGAGCCTTCAACATTAGAGATGTGCACAAGCCCCTTGTCCTATAGAGGCTATGTCCCCAATGAGCACTGAGTGACTGAGCTAAAGAGGCTCTCTTGACTTCACAGGAGAACAATAAATACTGCACTTGACACTGAGGCATCCCACTTGAATAAGAATTTTAAAAAGACAGTGCTCTAAAACATAGGATATACTACAGATAATGATGTTTTAGCATTTACAGTAGTACAGTACACCTATGGGTTTTTAGTCAGAGACGAGATCTAGGTCATAAAAGACTAGATAGGGATAGAGAATGATAGAGTAAGAGAGAGAGTGGAAGGAAGGATGGGTATCAGCATATGCGAAAGGCAAGAGAGAGAGAAGAAATTCAAAGCGTGGTGCTTTTAATAATTCACAATACGGCCTCAAACTCCCCGCCTGACATGTACAGCTATATGACAAGGCTTTAATACATATATCGTCTGCTCAATGGGGCTTTTTTAAGACCCCACTCAACACTCATACAGTACTGTAGGCCTGAGGACATTACATTTTTTAGCTGGGATGGAAATGTCAAGCCCCTCAGGCCTGAGAATGGGAACGACAGGGAAGGTCTAGTTCTGCCAGTGCACAGTCACTACGCTGCGATTCATAGTAAAAGCATTAGCAACTACAACAGATGTTTGTAATGTAGATAAACAAAGAAACAGAAAATCCTTTGGAGTACATTCCATGATATTCAACGATAATATACCTATTATAGTAGCTATGATGTCAATACAAAATTAAATATTATACAATTATTTTTAAGAAACATTTCTCAATAAAATACAATTATAAACTAAAGCCATTAAAACTACAGTAAAAATCCTACTAGTATACCCCATCATTGCTTTACATGGTTATTAGGTGTGTCATATGTAGCCAGACATAACATTGGTTTAACATGACTTAAGCATGTAAACAGATAATTGTGGGTTACTACCCTCTATTCTATCAACACAGAGTAGGGAGTCTGAAGGCCTGCGGCTCTATGACATGATGCACACGTCTACTTAGCACAGAGCACCAGCCTGAGACGGCAAGAGCAGTTGCTATGGAGATGCAGAGGTCCAACAGAAAACCAATAGTCTTTTAGTGCTGTCATGAAGAGAATTTCAACCATGTGAACACAGTCCACAAAGAGAGCTCTGCACACTCATCTCAGTAGAGAAAGATGCTGGTATAGCTGACTGCAGAGAAGTGCACGCATATTAGCATATGCACACACACGCACGCGCGCGCACACACACAACAAACACACACCAAACATGCACAGAGAAAAAACATTTTGAATGTGTGAATGCAGAATACTGAATCACTGACAACCTAACTAACCGATGAGTTCTTTGTTTCTGACGTCTAAGGCCATGTTTCTTAAAGCTGTGGCCACGGCACACACCACCCTGTCGTTGTCAATCCTCAGCAGTTCCACCAGGATGGGTAGACCCTTCTCTTTCCTCACCGCCGCACGGATATACACAGACCACTGGAGAGGAGAGGAGACAGAGAGGACTGTCACACATCTTTATGTTCTATGCTATCAGTCAGAGTAGGATGACCATCTTATAGGATCTGGTATCTCTTTCTTAACTAACATTACAATAAGTGAACAGACCAATGACTTAGACCCTATCTATCTGTTAAGAGTTATAGCATCTTGGCATCGGCAGTTGGACAGCTCTGAGGAGGCCATAGCTTACTGTACTGTTCCAGCTTTCTTGACTAATACAGTGAGTTAACAGTCACCAATTAGCTCTCTGTTTCAGTAAGTTCATTTACATGACAGTGTGAACAGTTAAATGGCTGCCGTTGAGCAGCTCTAAGGAGGGAGACCATAGCTTACTGTACTGTGCTGTACCTTCCAGCTGCCTGCAGCCAGGTTCTGCAGAGCCCCGGCTGCCCCCTCCAGGGTGTCTGGGTTGGAGCACTCAGACAGTAGGGTGAGGTAGGGTTTGACGATGGTGGGGTGCCACAGCATCTGAATGCCTTTGGGCGGGTCAGCCGAGTCCGGGAAGGGCCCCACACCATCCCACTGAGTGACACAGGATGGTAGAATGTTACTACTTGTCAATACTACAGGCATTAAACTGTTTGGCAACACTACTTAGTGCCACTGAAAATAGCTTAATTATCATAGAACAGTGAAAATGTTGAAAACGTTGAATATGGTTGAGACTTGAGTGACAAGTGAGTGTCACATTGCTTTTTGAATTATGAACTTATAGGATAAACATAATTAAGAATTAAGTAGTTAGTTAAAATCTCTGGGGCATATCGCACATACTAAATCATCATCACCACCAAGCCAACCACATGAGCATCTAATGTATGCCAGAGTAGATGAGTTGTACAGCCAATAGCATAATCCAACTCAGATAATAATCAAATATAAGCTTTTGCCTGGTTATTGTCCCAGGCATGGCAGAGAAAACCATGATAAATCTCTCCTCTTCACATTATATTTGTGTTATTTAGCAGACAGTCTTATCCAGAGCAACTTACAATTAGTGCATTCGTCGTGATATAACTAGGTGAGACAACATATCACAATCATATCAAGTACATTTTTCCTCAAGTATTAATCAGCAAAGTCAGTGCTAATAGGGCAGGTAAGTGCCTTTTTAAAAATTAAGGGCGCGTCGGGGGTGCCATGAGATAGACATACTGAAGATATATACTCTTCAAAGAGGTACGGTTTCAGATGTTTTCAGAAGATGGGCAGGGACTTTTGACTTTAGGGAGAAGCTTGTTCCACAATTGGGGTGCCAGGAAAAAAGAAGAGCTTTGACTGGGCTGAGTGGGAACTGAACTCCTGTAGGGGTAGAAGAGCCAATAGACCAGAGGTGGCAGAACGGAGTGCTCCGGTTGGGATGTAGGGTTTGAGAATAGCCTGAAGGTAGGGAGGGGCAGTTCCCCTTGCTGCTCCGTAGGTAAGCACCAGGGTCTTGAAGATGATTCGAGCTTCGACTGGAAGCCAGTGGAGTGTGGGGAGGAGCGGGGTGACATGGGAGATCTTAGGAAGGTTGAACACCAGGTGGGCTCTGGCATTCTCTTCAAGACACTCTTTCAGAACTAAACCCAGTAAATGAGTAATTATCCATTAGATAGACCCCCCTCCCTAGCCAGCTTCCAGCACCACTGCTCTAACACGCTGGCTAATTGCTAACAGCTGCAGTGGAGATGTAGAGAGGAGAGGAGAGGAGAGGAGAGGAGAGGAGAGGAGAGGAGAGGAGAGGAGAGGAGAGGAGAGGAGAGGAGAGGAGAGGAGAGGAGAGGAGAGAGAGGAGAGGAGCCCACCTGATCATGGGCCTTCTTTTTCTTCTTCTTCTTCCCCCAGCAACCAGAGCTCTCGGCATCCTTGCTGTTGGCATCGCCACAAAGCAATCCATCAAGCTCGTCCGTGCCTATCTGCTGTCCCTGAGTTGTCTCTGCAGCTAGTCGATATGAGAGGTTCCTCAAAATGCATACACAGTTTTCAATGGTCTGCAAGGACAAAAGAGGGAGATGACGAGAGATGAAGGGAAGGAGTTGGGGAAAGGAGAGAGGGGGAGACGAAGAGAGAGAGAGAGAGAGAGAGAGAGAGAGAGAGAGAGAGAGAGAGAGAGAGAGAGAGAAGAGAGAGAGAGAGAGAGAGAGAGAGAGAGAGAGAAAGAGAGAGAGAGAGAGAGAGAAAGAGAGAGATAAATAGAGATTTGAGAGCAGTATTTCAATTTGATGCGTGCCATGAGATGCTTTGCTTGTCGGCCATGTAGTGATCAAAGTAAAGTTGAAGTTATAAGACTGTTTATTTCCTCCAATGTGAGCGGACAGGATGCTTTAGGGATGCTATAAACTGGGGCAAATGCATGAGTCAAATATCTGTCTGTTGCTGTTTGCTTTCGAATAGACAGAGCATGCAATGCAATAGACCATGACACTGCATTTGATACAACACATACAGACCTTGTTACTAAACATTGCCTACTGTATGTTACACTGTTGAGAGTCTATTATTTCATGACATCTTCCACAGCTAAACAGAGCAGATGCCAACCCTTCAATGCAACAATTAACAGTGGAAGAATTAAATCATTAACCAGTCTATAAAGGCGATTTCAATTGGAACATTAATTGACCAGTCTGTTAAATGCAATTGGTAAAGTAAAGTCAAGTGCATCTCTTTCTGATGTATGACTAACTCCTTGTACTTGTTAGATTGCTGTGCTGGATCCAGGCCAGAGCAGTACTGTAGTGGTAATCCCATTGTAGTAAGCAGTGAGGCATTCAACACCGTAGTGGGCCGACTTTGATCTTGTAAAGGATTTTCAGTGTGATTAGGGCCGCCAGATCGCCTTCAAACTGGTTGGCAGAAAGTAGTCCAGACATAAGAAAGGCCCTCGGAAATCAAACAAAATATGGCACTCATTTAGAGCGAGTATGTAGTCGTACAATCGGAGGAGCTTTATGGTACCATAACCTACTGTACATCGTTATGAGTGTGGTAGAGAAGGCAGATATGGAAGACATTTGATTAGGGAAGAACAGTTTGTCATGGTTATTGCTTGACATCAGGATAATGTAGTTAGTGCTGCGCATCGCTCGAGGTTATCATGTACTGTATGTATCTAGTACCTAGTCCATTTTCTCTCAGATTCAAAAATGTCTTCTACAAGCCGTAAACAGGTGACCTTGAACAACAGTCTGACATTGACTGAGTGTGTCAATTTCTCCATGCATGACCTGTGATTGAATCCTTCCAATAGTTGAACACTGACTAGTACTTATAGAGGATTGAATCTTAACATAATATACTGTAAATAGGCTTTGTTTCTATTATACTAAATAATGCATTTCAAAGCAGGAGAAAAACACTAGCTCCATAGACTCTGAGGTATTCATTTGCAGGAAATTGGACATCGGGTATGGGCTTTTGGGAAATGACCAGTGTAATCAGAGCTGTTGATGATCTGTGCTAGCGTCTAGCCTGACTGCACTGTAGATCCTCATCACCAATACAAGGAAGTCAGCACCCCCTATCTCTCCATGCAGAGCACCAGCAAGGACAGGAGAGGTGTTTAGCAGCTACATCATGATTAAAGAAGGCCATTTACAGGGGATGATGAGGTGGAGAGAGCCAGGGAGGCAACCTTGACAACACACTGATCCAGATCCACAACATGGGACATCCGTGTGTGTGTGTGCGTGTGTGTTGTAATGATGGGCAGCCCTTGTCTGTCATTCCCTCAGCATCGTGTTAAAGGGTCTGCTTTATGAAAGGAGATGAGAGGAACACAAAGTCAAACCTTGCTATCGATCTCGCTGCTGCCCAAGGCGGTCTGGATCACGTAGAGCAGAGCGTCGGTAAGGCCCTCGCACTCCCTCATCCTCCTGCGAGCCTCCTCCCCCGCAGAGCTCACGTTCCTGCAACAACAGCCACAGTCAGACATTTCTCTTCAGCACTGTATCACTGTTATATTGTACTGTCCGCTGGTAGGTAACCATCATCATGATTTTTCAGTTTAATTTCAGGACTAAATACTTAATATACTACTTCTTCAGTGCTTGTCATCATTTTGATTGAATATAGGATAACTAAATGGCGTTAATGACAGTATAGTTTGACACGATGACAAACCTGGCCCGTCAGATCATGTTCCCACCCTGGGTGCATCCCAAATGGCACCCTATTCCCTATACACTGAGTGTACAAAACATTAGGAACACCTGCTCTTTCCATGACATAGACTGACCAGGTGAATCCAGGTGAAAGCTATGATCCCTTATTGATGTCATCTGTTACATTCACTTCAATCAGTGAAGATGAAGGGGAGGAGACAGATTAAAGAAGGATTTCTAAGCATTGAGACATGGATTGTGTATGTGTGCCATTTCAGAGGGTAAATGGGCAAGACAAAATATTTAAGTGCCTTTGAAAGGGGTATGGTAGTAGGTGCCAGGCGCACCGCTTTGAGTGTGTCAAGAACTGCAACGCTGCTGGGTTTTTCACGCTCAACAGTTTCCCGTGTGCAGCAAGAATGGTCCACCACCCAAAGGACATCCAGCCAACTTGACAAAACTGTGGGAAGCATTGGAGTCAACATGGACCAGCAACCCTGTGAAACACTTTCGACACCTTGTAGAGTCCATGCCCCGACGAATTTAGGCTGTTCTGACAGCAAAAGGGGTGCAACTCAATATTAGCAAGGTGTTCCTAATGTTTTGGACATCAGTGCACTACTTTTGACCAGGGCCCATACGGGCCCAATATGTAGGACATAGGGTGCGATTTGGGATACAGCCTCTATCCTGTCTCCTCTCCGCTGCCCTTTAAATGTCAGGTCATTACGAGTCTGTAATGGTGCAGCCAGCCTGGTCTTCTAACAGGCCTCTGGATGGACAACATGGCTTTTATCTATCTGTGTCTCCTGTTAGAGGTTGGGCCCAATAGATAAGGAGATTATTCTGCCCTACCAAGCAAAAGAGCAGTAACTGCACATTTGGTCAAAAATGAGTTACTGACATTTTTGATACATTAAATACATGCTTTATCATGTGGACAAATATCCTGCCTCCACTGTGTTGAGAGAATGGGGCTCATGTTTACAGTAACTGGAAAAAAATACAGTGAAAGCAGGGAAAAAAGCAGTAACTGCCATCACTCACGTCAGTTACTGCCTTTTACCTTGGTTTCACTGAGCTTTGGGCTGCAGCTTCTGTGGTTTACCTTGGTATTATTGATTCTGCTTTCTGATACAAGTATCAAACTATATGACACGGACAGGAAACGTATTCCAGTGGGTGAACCAAGCATGAAGGCACTAACTGCCGTCTAGGGTCAAAGGTCATGACAGAGGTCAGGGTCAATGTGAATACAAAATGGCCTCATGTTAAGACAACAGATACCCACATCTCTAGTGATCAGCCTACAAGTCATTTGGCTGGACAATTAAAAAACTATAATGCCATTTTTCTCAGTATTGATGCCCTGTTTGTGACTCCGTCGGCACCTCCAGAACTTTGTAATGGGTCTGATAAACAAAGAAGACCATGGATCAATCTACTGCATCTGTATCTGTTCTGGAGGGGCTCTTCAGTGATGAGTGAGTTGATTGTATAAGTGAGAGATGGCCTCTGGTTAGATAGAGACAGGGTCCTTTATCAGGCGTTCCAACACACAGCAGTCACTGCCCACTGACCACCCCAGGGTAGACCAGACACAAGAGATGACCCCAGAGATGAAAGGAAATGATACGAACAAGGGAACATGGAGCATCTTCAATAGGCTTGTTGACTCTTGTGCACTGACAATCTAACGGTAAAAGGGCTTGTTGACTCTATTGTGAGTCTGATCGATAGTGATAGTGAGTATGTTCTCTTGCTGTCAAGGTGGGCCATAGTCCTATTGACACACTTCCTCCCATTAGACACTAGCTGATCCCTGGCAGAGAGGCACCCTGTGAAGAATGTCAGTCAGCTAGCGTGCTGCGTACGCTGTCAGCCATGGTGATTCTGTTCTGAAGACAGCCAGCATGAGTGTCACAGGATGAGGGACAGGTGTGTGATGAGGCGGCAGGTGGCGAGGCATCTTGGTCCCACACATTAAATATTCAATCAAAGCTCCTGTTCTGTTGTTCCTTAACGACCCATGAAACAGATGAATTAGCCTGCTGAGCTCAGGGATTTACTGTACAGTCAGTCATACTTCATCACAGGCAGGCATTAAGACTCAGCACATTTCACTTACAGTGGGCTTCCTTCCACTTCACGCTGCTGCAGTGCTGATTGGTTGTGCTGCAGAGGACTACCTGTCTGGTGGCCAATGGAAACAAGGCGTGCCCACAAAGTCCGCCTCCCTTTCATTAATCACTTCCTGCTTTGACAAGGTAATGTGTCGGCATATTAATGGTTTTCTTTCTATCAACTATTAGCGGATAATACCACTACAGAGAAGCGGTGACATATTGCACAGAGAGGGTAATGCACTGTAGCTAAAATGAATAACCCCTAAATTAACAGACAGGCAATGTATTAGCTAAGATCTCATTATTCTCCTTCTTCGCAGACACTTCTCTTGCTGGTACGCAGGAGACAAGGGCCCAGATATAAAGAGTAGAAACACTTGACACATAGCCAATTTTCTTCCGGTGCCAGCGCTATAATCAGAAAGTCTTTGACAATATTCCAGAATTATAGAATGCTTTAATGCCGTTTTCACACAACATCCCTCATAATGTTGGTAATTATGGGGAAGAGGCATGTTACATGTGCTCCCATAATCGGTCTGACACTTGTGGCATTCATTGTCTGTGATAAAACGTCCTTAATCAATAACATTCATTCGTCAAGTCAATACTCACAATACGGACAAAGCTACATGAGTATTCATGTGTGAAAGTGGGTTGTCCCACTAAGTTGAATGCACCAATTTGTAAGTCGCTCTGGATAAGAGCGTCTGCTAAATTACTTAAATGTAAATGTAAAATGAAAGAGCAATGTGTTACATCCTGCATTACCAACACAAAGGAACTGTGTGCAGGCAAGCCAGGCAGGGACAAAGCAGGGAGACATTCACCTGAAAGAATCCGACCGCTCTCAGTGAAAGCTACACCCAGAAGAGACCTTACAACCCAGTGCATGTAACCTCAGGTTGACATCCACTGTCATGACTTGTGATGTCTAACTTCTAACCCTGCCACTGTGCTTTCACTTCTGCTTTGCTTGCTCTTTGGGGTCTAGGCTGGGTAAATGTAAATAACTTTGTGACAACTGCTGATGTAAAAAGCTAGCAAGCTTTATCAAATACATTTGATTGATTGACTCGAGGGTCCAGTAACAGTACTGACCTGAGGCAGCCGGTGGCGTTGCGGAGCACCTGGGAAGAGTGCAGGTGCAGTTTGCGGTCCTCTTGATGGGGCGAGGTGTCCCAGCCCGAGTGGGGGATGATGACAGCGTTGGTCAGCACTGCCAGGGCGTCCTGGATAATGGGCATCTTCAGGGCATCACACGACGACAGGTTCCACAGCACACCTGAACAGAGAACATCAGATAGGATAGGACGTTGACGAACAGTGATTTAACCTGGGAGAACGGTCAGGTGTAGAGATCCCGGGAAGGGAATGGTGATATATTGTGCACATGAGTGTGGAAACTGGTCTGGATCGTATAAAGATTTTTGTGGAGAACAAAAGTTGAATATACTTCCTCTGAAATTGAAATAAGGATCATGTTGGACAAAAGCTCTTCAAAACATTAAAAAGAAAATTGAAAACTGTAAGGCTCTATAACTGTTTAATAACTTGTCACAAAACAGCATATTTCACCCCTAGTCTTGAATTAATGAGAAGCTGTTGTGATTGTGCAATAAACTGGGAACCCGGGGCTTCATAGATTTTTATATTTTTTCCCCCGTAATTTAATGTGCAAACCAGCCAACCTAAAAAAATGAGGGAATTTTCTCTCGCCTACCAATTACATTCAAAGCCAGCGGCTTTGGCACAGCCTGTATGAGTAACCCACAAAGAGACAGAGAGGGAGGAAGCGCTCTCTCTCTGCAGCTGGGCTCTCCTCTCTCCTCTTTAACCACACTGACTACGACTTCAGTCTTCCTCCTCAATCTGGGGTGCTTTACTAAACACTGAACAGGGGCAATACGTGTCCACAGAGCGTATACCATCCTAATTTACATATGACTTCAACTGAACCTAAATTGCAGCGGCAATAAAAGACAACCGATTCATGTGCCACTATAAATTGCTTTCAGTAGGATGTGGTAGGAACATGGTGACTCTGCCATGGATGGTGTTAAGAAGTGAGCAGCAGCTGTCAGCCAAAGATTGAGATACATACACAGCACAAGAGCTGGCCGGAGGAGGAGGAGGAGGAGGAGGAGAGGGTCCTTCACTCTACAACCCTCCATACCCCAACCCCCCCCAAAAAACAACAAATAAAGCAACACCTCACGGCACAAAGCCTCTCCCCCATGTGACCTACTTGTTGTATGTTCAGTATGTACTGACATGTATGTGTAACTGATATATGCACACACACTACATGTTCATGTTTTTAAATGTATGTAAATTGTAAAGTATTTTGTCTGTAATGTATTTTTAGTTCTCGTGTCGGACCCCAGTAAGACTAGCTGTCGCCACTGGCGTCAGCTAATGGGGATCCTAATAAATCAAATCAAAAATCAAACCAGAGGGCACACACACACACACACTCAGAGCACTGATTGTAATGACCTTGAAAGCTGGCCCAACACATTATAATTCTTGTTGACCTTCACCACGTCATGTCCCTCCTAGGACACCGTAGCCGTAGCATTTATTATTGCAATTACCAGTTGTGAGGCAGTCAGTCACTCTTCACCCGTTCCTCTCACAACAACAATGTCATTACATAGATCTACTTTAGTCTTATCAGCCATGTTGGGATATTTTCCTTGTGGTCTGCTCTGCTCTAAATAACTAGCTGCATTGCTCATAATTAGTGGAGACAGTAATCTTGCAGAGAGCATCACTTTACCACGCTCGGGGTGGCGGACAGCATTTCTGTGTTTTCAAAAATGAAAGGGCTGCTGCCTATAGCGGTGGCGAGGGTGGGCTTGGCGGATAATAACCGCCTATAACATCATCTTCTTCCAGTGGGAAAAAAAGTTGATGGATTTTTTTCTTTCACTGGATAGATGAAAGAGGTTAATTGCCTCAGCCTTACATCATCGGGGAGGCAGGCGGTGCGAGAGCATCATTTCGTGGGGAGAAAGCAGGTCGTCTGCAGAACTGGACCCAAATTATCTCTACGGGGGGTAGCGGAAGTTGAGGGCACTGTGCAGGTTGTCAAGGTGACAGAAATTACATTTTAGTAACCTGATGTTTTTATATGGTTCAGGTGACGCAGCCGCTATGTCGTGAGCCGACAGTGATTCAGTGCAGATGACATTCCAATCAAATCAAATCAAATCAGCCACTCTTTACAATGAGTCACTGTGGTACCAAAACAAATACGAAGAAATAAACTACATCCCAGCTCTGATGGAATAAGACGTATAGATGTCTGTACATTTCTACCATTCTCCTCCAACTACTACTACTTTTAAATGAATCTACTCCGAGAACTACAGGGCAACTTGATTAACCATAATCTAGCCAGGCCACATCCTATCCCTCCATCCCTCCACTAGAATAGACTAATTGTACCCTGGCTGTGTAAGAGCAGCAACAGGGGTTCCTGTTCGGCATCACATGGAGTCCAGGATACAATCTACATCTTTAATCTCAGGAGACAAGAAATTCGCCATTAAAAAGAGCTTTATTCTTTCTGAATAATCATCTTGGTCTCCTCTACATAAAAGGGGGGCTTGCTAGAGCAGCGGGGGAAACAACAACCTTGTTTGGCTAACTGTGATGTCATAAACCACCGCCGCATGCCTAAGTAGGGCGCCCCTTGGCAGTTGGTGGCACGGGGAAGGCTCAGGGAAGGCTAGAAGACGGGTAAATGGTCCCATTAATCCATGCATAGTCACAGGAAGGGGAGAGGAGGCTCAGGCGCACACTGTGAAGAAGTGAATAGGCAGAATTCCTGTGGGCCGGGGAAGGTTTTCTGCAGCCTGATTAATTTGTGACAGGAGGGACTGTGTTCCAAGCGTTGAATTGCTTTCTAATTTATATAGTAATCTCCTTTAAGACAGTACCAGCACAAACCATTTATTTCCTAAGCATTTCCTGTCTTAAAATCCTCTCTACAGTAAAAAATGTATAATAAAAGGATGAAGCAACATGCTCTCTCTAAACATAACTAGGGGATTTTACCTCTGACTTCTTATTGACTAAGTGCCTTTTGGCAATGTTCACTTTTAGAACATTTAATAGATGTCTGTGGTGCCATACCCCGATGAAGTTTCACATCATATTGTATCTCATCAAAAATATGAAATTTCTATCCAGTCAAGTCATTTGTGGATATTCGTGTTTTCATATTCAGTGTTTAACTAGCTGACTTATATTGATGACCCACTACTATGGATATTGATGTGAAACTTCCCTTTGTGATTCTTTGCCTTTACAGCCTATAGTAGTTATCCAGCCCCCAGTAACAGTGACAGTTCTGTGTATAAACTTGAGATAACACTTCCATACGCATCCAGGTATAATGCTTTATAATGTCATATAGCAAGGCTATGTTATGTCTCTCTATGTTATAACTTGTCACCAAACTCTGTTAACCTGTGAGCAGCTCCCTGATCTCCATGTCGGTGGTCTTCCTCAGCAGGCGGACCAGGGCTGGGATCCCCCCACAGTTCTTCAGGGCGATCTTGTTGTCATCGTTGGCCTTGCCGTACACTAGGTTCCTCAGAGCTCCACAGGCGCTGCGGTGAACGTCGGTCATTCTGTGATCTAGTAGATCCACCAGCAGCTGGATCCCTCCTTGCCTCCGGATCTGGTGAGAGGAACAGGGAGAGGAGAGGAAGGATGTAAGTGGATCAACTGGATCAAAATGAATAGATAGAGCAAGAGCAGTACAAATATGTATGCAATAGCGTAGCTAATATTCTTGACTGTTCAATTGTCTACCACAAAAGTCATACTTAGTCATAGTTTTCAGCATTGACAACAATATCCCTGGAGGCATCCCTATATAAATCCTATTCTTCATTTCACTCAGGTACCTTTTCTCTAGTAATAAACTAGAGCCATGTCAAACACGTGGCTGCACACAGACAGAAAGGCCCAGGACACGCTGCCATAGCGTTCTGCCATATTAGTGACAGAGTGATAGAGGAAGTGATGACCTGGCAGAGTGACACACACACACACACACACACACCGGAGGAGTGGTGCCAACAGTCAGCAGATGTGCTGCCAGGTCCAACAGAATGGATCAGCACTGCTGCTGTTGCTGTACCTCTCAACTCCAATTAAACACAGAGGAGAAAAATCATTACAAATCAGAGACCCTGTTTATCTGGGTTCTCTGCTCCAATTGACTGACAATTTATTTAGTGACAAGGTTTTACCCCATCATGGCATCTGTTATTACAGTAAATGTGCCATTTTATGGCTGATTCATATTCAGTCAATGCACAACCAAAGAGGTGTTGGCAAAGGTGATAGACACTGGTTCACTAGATTGCAGGCTACATGCTGTCATTATCCAGTACATGCTGTATGTATGTATATTCCCTACTGTTTATGAAGACACTTACTAGACACTCCCTCGCTCTGCTGTTATCAAAATAGAGCACCCAGTAAATAGTCATTCCCTTCACACAGCCTTCTGGTCCAAAAATAACCAAGATACTGCTAGGCGAGAAGGCACCATCATGACACCACACACAGCTAACGTGCATTGCCTTGCAGTACTATAAATAGTGTGCATGTGCCTATGTGTGTGCATGCCTATGGGGTGTGTATGTGTGTAATCACGGATGTGTGTGTGTGTGTGTGTCTGCCCATGTTGCCTGTGTGATATATCTCATAGTCTGAGAGAGGCAATGAGATGCACGTCAGCAGTGTTCCAGGAGAAGCCATCAGCTGACCTAATGACTTTCTTCCAATCCCTCCCAGAGGGCATCTGACCTGCAACTTATCCCTCCATCTCCCCATCCCTCCATCTTCCTATCCCTGCATCTCAACCTCCCCCCATCTCAGCATCCCTCCACCTCAACCAGTCAATGTCCCCACATATCACCCACATATCACGCACACACCAAGCTATCCAACATCCCTACATACGGGTGAGGCATATCAGATGAGGCAAGAGTAGTTAATACTATCTATCCACTAATGTGAGAAGAATTAACAATTCTAGCAACTGGAATTTATCCTGAGCTGAATTATTCTCGCAAAAGGCTTCACAAAAGGTATACATTTTAGATGATGTACTGAACATGAGAGCAGAGGCGGACTTTGCTATGTTTTATAGGTTTCAACTGAAACAGACCTCAGCTGCCCAGCGCCCTCCCACTGACTATTTTCCCAATATGATGTTAGCAACTGGTATAACAACTTTATGGGGCCTATACATTTCATAATGTATAAGCAGTGGACTCAAGTGTCCCAGCTAGCACACAGCAGTAGAAATACAGTTGAAGTCGGAAGTTTACATACACTTAGGTTGGAGTCATTAAAACTCGTTTTTCAACCACTCCACAAATGTCTTGTTAACAAACTATAGTTTTGGCAAGTCGGTTAGGACATCTACTTTGTGCATGACACAAGTAATTTGTCCAACAATTGTTTACAGACAGATTATTTCACTTATAATTCACTGTATCACAATTCCAGTGGGTCAGACGTTTACATACACTAAGTTGACTGTGCCTTTAAACAGCTTGGAAAATTCCAGAAAATTATGTCATGGCTTTAGAAGCTTCTGATAGGCTAATTGACATCATTTGAGTCAATTGGAGGTGTACCTGTGGATGTATTTCAAGGCCTACCTTCAAACTCAGTGCCTCTTTGCTTGACATCATGGGAAAATCTAAAGAAATCAGCCAAGACCTCAGAAAAAGAATTGTAGACCTCCACAAGTCTGGTACATCCTTGGGAGCAATTTCCAAACGCCTGGAGGTACCACGTTCATCTGTACAAACAATAGTACGCAAGTATAAACACCATAGGACCACGTAGCCGTTATACCGCTCAGGAAGGAGACGCGTTCTGTCTCCTAGAGATGAACGTACTTTGGTGCGAAAAGTGCAAATCAATCCCAGAACAACAGCAAAGGACCTTGTGGAGATGCTGGAGGAAACAGGTACAAAAGTATCTATATCCACAGTAAAACGAGTCCTATATCGACATAACCTGAAAGGCCGCTCAGCAAGGAAGAAGCCACTGCTCGAAAACCGCCATAAAAAAGCCAGACTATGGTTTGCAACTGCACATGGGGACAAAGATTGTACTTTTTGGAGAAATGTCCTCTGGTCTGATGAAACAAAAATAGAACTGTTTGGCCATAATGACCATCGTTATGTTTGGAGGAAAAAGGAGGTAGCTTGCAAGCCGAAGAACACCATCCCAACCGTGAAGCATGGGGGTGGCAGCATCATGCTGTGGGGGTGCTTTGCTGCAGGAGGGACTGGTGCACTTCACGAAATAGATGGAATCATGAGGAAGGAAAATTATGTGGATATATTGAAGCAACATCTCAAGACATCAGTCAGGAAGTTAAAGCTTGGTCACAAATGGTCTTCCAAATGGACAATGACCCCAAGCATACTTCCAAAGTTGTGGCAAAATGGCTTAAGGACAACAAAGTCAAGGTATTGGAGTGGCCATCACAAAGCCCTGACCTCAATCCTATAGAACATTTGTGGGCAGAACTGAAAAGGCGTGTGCTAGCAAGGAGGCCTACAAACCTGACTCAGTTACACCCTGTCAGGAGGAATGGCCCAAAATTCACCAAACTTATTGTGGGAAGCTTGTGGAAGGCTACCTGAAACATTTGACCCAAGTTAAACAATTTAAAGGCAATGCTACCAAATACTAATTGAGTGTATGTAAACTTCTGACCCACTGGGAATGTGATGAAATAAATAAAAGGTGAAATAAATAATTCTCTCTACTATTATTATATATTTCCCATTCTTAAAATAAAGTGGTGATCCTAACTGACCTAAGGCAGGGACTTTTTTACTAGGATTAAATGTCAGGAATTGTGAAAAACTGAGTTTAAATGTATTTGGCTAAGGTGTATGTAAACTTCCGACTTCAACTGTATGTGGTGTGAGCCAAACCAGAAAGGACTGCTGCATGTTATAGTTTAGATGATGTAGTGAACATGCTGAGAGGCTAGCAGTGGATACAAGTTCCCCAGCTAGCACACGCAGTAGAAACTGTATGGATCCGGACCCAACCGGTGCATGGTTACCTCAGACTTTATCTTGTTGTCTCCGAAGCACAGGTGTTGGAGGTAGGCTGCAGCGTTGGACTGGACCGAGGGGAACTGGTGCTGCAGCATCTGGATCACCTCAGGCAGCTCTGGGTCTCTCCAGCCAAACTCCCTGCAGAGGACCATGGGAAACACAGGGATGAATACAGAACAGAACTGGATGGGTAAAAGGCAGCTGCGTCCCAAATGGACCCTATTCCATATCCTCATAGCGCTCTGGTCAAAAGTAGTGCACTACATAGGAAATAGGGTGACATTTGGGACTCAGGCACAAGCATAGCAATACAGTGCTAAACCAAACGATCACTCATTGTGTATTATACTGCAATCTTCAATCTATCTTTTCAGATGACTGCTATACACATGTCTTTGTGTTGTTTAATTTTCGTGGTAGATTGACAAAGCTGTTGTGGTGGTAATTCCTCTAAGTGGTGTTGTGGTATAATGTCATTTCCTGCATTAGGCGTCTCTGTTCTCTCTTGCTTTTAAATGCCTTGAGCTTGGCATATTGTATGAGTAGCTGTATTGATGTTTAATACTACAGTACGTTAGACTGGACACTTAGGCTACATAGCATTGAGATACACTTACAGAGCAGAAAAACTAAGTGACACATGACATATGCATTGTCTGTCAGAAACAAACATGTATGACAGATTTGCCAAACAAACTTAAGTTCTCTCCATCCATCCCCATAGCACATGGCCTAGCATTTAAAAACATATTTTAATTATAAGAGATATTAAAATCCAAAACAATCTTGTTTTCTACACCCACAAGTTATGAATGAAATCATTTTGCAATAATTATACAGACTACAGTCGTGGTCAAAAGTTTTGAGAATGACACAAGTATTGGTCTTCACAAAGTTTTCTGCTTCAGTGTTTTTAGATATTTTTCTCAGATGTTACTATGGTATACTGAAGTATAATTACAAGCATTCCATAAGTGTCAAAGGCTTTTATTGACAATTACATTAAGTTTATGCAAAGAGTCAATATTTGCAGTGTTGACCCTTCTTTTTCAAGACCTCTGCAATCCGCCCTGGCATGCTGTCAATTCACTTCTGGGCCACATCCTGACTGATGGCAGCCCATTCTTGCATAATCAATGCTTGGAGTTTGTCAGAATTTGTGGGGTTTTGTTTGTCCACCCGCCTCTTGAGGATTGACCACAAGTTCTCAATGGGATTAAGGTCTGGGGAGTTTCCTGGCCATGGACCCAAAATTTCGATGTTTTGTTCCCCGAGCCACTTAGTTATCACTTTTGCCTTATGGCAAGGTGCTCCATCATGCTGGAAAAGGCATTGTTCGTCACCAAACTGTTCTTGGATGGTTGGGAGAAGTTGCTCTTGGAGGATGTGTTGGTACCATTCTTTATTCATGGCTGTGTTCTTAGGCAAAACTGTGAGTGAGCCCACTCCCTTGGCTGAGAAGCAACCCCACACATGAATGGTCTCAGGATGCTTTACTGTTGGCATGACACAGGACTGATGGTAGCGCTCACCTTGTCTTCTCCGGACAAGCTTTTTTCCGGATGCCCCAAACAATCGGAAAGGGGATTCATCAGAGAAAATGACTTTACCCCAGTCCTCACCAGTCCAATCCCTATACCTTTTGCAGAATATCAGTCTGTCCCTGATGTTTTTCCTGGAGAGAAGTGGCTTCCTCTCTGCCCTTCTTGACACCAGGCCATCCTCCAAAAGTCTTCGCTTCACTGTGCGTGCAGATGCACTCACACCTGCCTGCTGCCATTCCTGAGCAAGCACTGCACTGGTGGTGCCCTGATCCCGCAGCTGAATCAACTTTAGGAGACAGTCCTGGCGCTTGCTGGACTTTCTTGGGTGCCCTGAAGCCTTCTTCACAACAATTGAACCTCTCTCCTTGAAGTTCTTGATGATCGGATAAATTGTTGATTTAGGTGCAATCTTACTAGCAGCAATATCCTTGCCTGTGAAGCCCTTTTTGCGCAAAGCAATGATGACGGCACGTGTTTCCTTGCAGGTAACCATGGTTAACAGAGGAAGAACAATGATTTCAAGCACCACCCTCCTTTTAAAGCTTCCAGTCTGTTATTCTAACTCAATCAGCATGACAGAGTGATCTACAGCCTTGTCCTCGTCAACACTCTCACCTGTGTTAACGAGAGAATCACTGACATGATGTCAGCTGGTCCTTTTGTGGCAGGGCTGAAATGCAGTGGAAATGTTTTTGGGGGATTAAGTTCATTTTCATGGCAAAGAGGGACTTTGCAATTAATTGCAGTTCATCTGATCATTCTTCATAACATTCTGGATTATATGCAAATAGCCTGAGGCTAGCTATGGGCTGTCAGAGACCCCTGTCATCCCCACCACCCCCACCCCCACCACTATCTTCACCACCCACACCACTATCACCACCACCCCACCCAATTTTAATCGGCAACAAAGAGAGAGAGTGAGAGACACACACTGGTGCTAAGGCGTTGCCCTCCCTGTACAGTGTAAACACCTTCCAGCAACTGTTCAACCTCCAACCATCACAGCTGTCCGCAATCAGGCCTTTCAGTTTGTCAGCTCTCAAAAACCGAGAATCAATTAACGACTGGGATCACGTGTGAGAGAGAGAGAGATGTGAGAGAAAAGGAGAGGTGTGATGAGAGTGAGAGAGAGAGAGCTAGCGAGAGAGGGAGAGGAAAACTAGAAACAGAGAGCTAATTCTGATCCACATGGCCACAGTCAGTGATGTACACACTACGACGGCTAAAAGAGCCTCAGGACCATTTCATCTCCCCACAATCCTTCTCCCAGCAATACATACCACCACTAACATGAGCCAAGGAGAAATGGAGGAGGCCCATGGCCATTTACAGAGAAAGAGAAATGTTAAATTTCAAAAAGGTCAACAGAGTGATGGGGCTCTAGCTGGGATTCTCTCTGACATCAATCACATAAAACAAAACCCAGAAAAATAAAACACCAGGGAGCCCAGCTATGGACGTCTCTCCTGAGACTCTTCAGAACTGTTACATTAAAAGTGGAGTTTCATGCGGTAGGGGAGCAGTGTACCAACCAAACACAGTGGAGCATCATTCCATTTCCAGACTACATAGGCAGCTGCCAAGTCTTCCTGCACCCTTCTACCAAGCAGCTGAACCCCACACTAGTGGGCACTGGGCATGCTCAGTTCAGGCAGTAACTAGGCTGCACTGTTATTCAACTGAGCACTTATTGTTGAGTTATTGGAGCTGACTGGTGTGCAGTCGTCAGAAATGATTTCCTTGTGAATATAAGGCATCAAAGGGAATGAACACAGAGGAGCATAGAGGGATTGAAATCCTTTTGATTCAGAAAATTGACCAATGGGACAAAATGTTTTTCAATGTTGTTTTTTTCCCCTCTCATCGCGGATGATTATGAAGCTTGTTCACATGCTCTATGGTCTGTCCCTGTGAGGCATGGTTGGATTAGCAAAAACATTCACCCATCGCCATATTCATCTACTATAATGATGATCACATCTGTGCATCTGAGCATTTGTAGATCAAACACAACTTCCTACAAAATAATCTAAAGATTATGTAACCTTGCATAAGTCACCTTTGGGTAATTGGGCAATCAAAATGCTCAAACAGTTTGTGCAAACTGCTGTATGTTTAATCATATCCAATTCAGAAGTGGGTCGCTTGCTGAAACATCGCCTTCAGTCAAATGAAGTTGGAATGCATTACTGTACATAGGCTTTTAAGTTACTTTCTAGCACAAACATTTCAGAGACACTGTTGTACATTCTGTATGTTTGTGTTAGCTTATCAGTTAATGAACTGAACAAAAATATAAATGCAACATGTTGGTCTCATGAGCTGAAATAAAAGATCCCAGAAATGTTCCATACACACAAAAAGCTTATTTCTCTCAAATGTTGTGCACAAATTTGTTTGCATCCCTGTAAATTAGCATTTCTCCTTTGCCAAGATAATCCATCCACCTGTTAGGTGTGGCATATCAAGAAGCTGATGGCACAAAGTGCAATGGCACTGGGACGAAACCCATTTCAATTCCTTGTACTAACACACTGGAACCACAATATGTATTATTGGACAAGGGCAACACATCAGATAGTATGAACGACTGCGCCGCACCAGTATCTCTGAGGATTCTAACTGGACGCCGAGACGCTTCATCATCTGATATAGAAACAAACCCCTCAAAAATGAACGGTTCATAACTGTGATCTGGGACAGGGACTTTCAAACCACATTCACTATGAGGCTTCTGTCTTGCTTCCGGCCTTACAACCGTACGAATCAGCCCAACACCCGTTGGCGGCCTGGCGTGCTGAGGCATCCCCGGTTTGCGTTTTAGCAGAAAGCAATCATTAACCATATGTCCCACCTTATGACAATAGAAACAGTGACGCACATCTTTTGGGCGCGCTGGATGTACTGCTGGTCGACTAGGACTAAAAGTTAGCAACTCCGCAGCCCTGCTCTCCGTACGAGCCGAAAACACGCTCTTATGCGTCAACACAAACTCGTCTGCCAATACAGACGCTTCCGACAGTGAGGATACTTTCTGTTCGTTCAGATAAACTACAATGCGTTCGGGTAAGCAATTTTTAAACTCTTCTAACAAGATTAACTCCCGTAGAGAGTTAAAATCAGTTACTTTACTAGCACTGTGCCATTTGTCAAACAGATTTCCTTTGTCTCTAGCAAACTCCACATAAGTCTGAGTAGGAGACTTTTTATGAAACCTAAATCTCTGTCGATATGCCTCAGGAACAAGCTCATAGGCACGAAGAACAGTAGCTTTGACCACTTCATAATTCAAACTGTCTTCAAGAGGTAGCGCTGCCAGAACCTCTTGGGCTTTACCTGTTAGTTTACACTGAAGTAATAGGCACCATACCTCTTCGGGCCATTTCAATGCTACCGCTATACGTTCAAACACACTGAAATAGGAATCAACCTCTGACTCCCTTGTGCTGGGGACAATAAAAGGCGAGTCTAAAATGTGCAGTTTTGTCACACAACACAATGCCACAGATGTCTCAAGTTTTGAGGGAGCGTGCAATTGGCATGCTGACTGCAGGAATGTCCGCCAGAGCTGTTGCCAGAGAATTGAATGTTTATTTCTCTACCATAAGCCGCCTCCAACGTCGTTTTAGAGAATTTGGAAGTACTGTATGTCCAACTGGCCTCACAACAGCAGACCACGTGTAACCACACCAGCCCAGGACATCCACATCTGGCTTCTTCACCTGTGGGATCGTCTGAGACCAGTCACCTGGACAGCTGATGAAACTGAGGAGTATTTATTTCTGAAATAAAGCCCTTTTGTGGGGAAAAACGTATTCTGATTGGCTGGGCCTGGCTCCCCAGTGGGTGGGCCTATGCCCTCCAGGCCCACCCATGGCTGTGCCCCTGCCCAATTGACTGATTTCCATATAATTATTGCATGTTGCGTTTATATTTTTGTTCAGTAGATTTGGTGTGCATTCGAAATGGCACCCTATTTCCTTTATAGTGCACTTCTTTTGACCAGAGCCCTGGTCCCTGGTCAAGAGTAGTGCACTTCATAGGGTACAGGAAACAATTTCAGACATACAGTGGGGAGAACAAGTATTTGATACACTGCCGATTTTGCAGGTTTTCCTACTTACAAAGCATGTAGAGAAAAAATCCTGAAAATCACATTGTACGATTTTTAAGTAATTAATTTGAATTTTATTGCATGACATAAGTATTTGATCACCTACCAACCAGTAAGAATTCCGGCTCTCACAGACCTGTTAGTTTTTCTTTAAGAAGCCCTCCTGTTCTCCACTCATTACCTGTATTAACTGCACCTGTTTGAACTCGTTACATGTATAAAGACACCTGTCCACACACTCAATCAAACAGACCCCAACCACTCCACAATGGCCAAGACCAGAGAGCTGTGTAAGGACATCAGGGATAAAATTGTAGACCTGCACAAGGCTGGGATGGGCTACAGGACAATAGGCAAGCAGCTTGGTGAGAAGGCAACAACTGTTGGCGCAATTATTAGAAAATTGAAGAAGTTCAAGATGACGGTCAATCACCCTCGGTCTGGGGCTCCATGCAAGATCTCACCTCGTGGGGCATCAATGATCATGAGGAAGATGAGGGATCAGCCCAGAACTACACGGCAGGACCTGGTCAATGACCTGAAGAGAGCTGGGACCACAGTCTCAAAGAAAACCATTAGTAACACACTACGCCGTCATGGATTAAAATCCTGCAGCGCACGCAAGGTCCCCCTGCTCAAGCCAGCGCATGTCCAGGCCCGTCAAAGTTTGCCAATGACCATCTGGATGATCCAGAGGAGGAATGGGATAAGGTCATGTGGTCTGATGAGACAAAAATAGAGCTTTTTGGTCTAAACTCCACTCGCCGTGTTTGGAGGAAGAAGAAGGATGAGTACAACCCCAAGAACACCATCCCAACCGTGAAGCATGGAGGTGGAAACATCATTCTTTGGGGATGCTTTTCTGCAAAGGGGACAGGATGACTGCACCGTATTGAGGGGAGGATGGATGGGGCCATGTATCGCGAGATCTTGGCCAACAACCTCCTTCCCTCAGTAAGACCATTGAAGATGGGTCGTGGCTGGGTCTTCCAGCATGACAACGACCCGAAACACACAGCCAGGGCAACTAAGGAGTGGCTCCGTAAGAAGCATCTCAAGGTCCTGAAGTGGCCTAGCCAGTCTCCAGACCTGAACCCAATAGAAAATCTTTGGAGGGAGCTGAAAGTCCGTATTGCCCGCCGACAGCCCCGAAACCTGAAGGATCTGGAGAAGGTCTGTATGGAGGAGTGGGCCAAAATCCCTGCTGCAGTGTGTGCAAACCTGGTCAAGACCTACAGGAAACGTATGATCTCTGTAATTGCAAACAACGTTTTCTGTACCAAATATTAAGTTCTGCTTTTCTGATGTATCAAATACTTATGTCATGCAATAAAAGGCAAATTAATTACTTAAAAATCATACAATGTGATTTTCTGTATTTTTGTTTTAGATTCCGTCTCTCACAGTTGAAGTGTACCCTCTACATGCTTTGTAAGTAGGAAAACCTGCAAAAATGGCAGTGTATCAAATACTTGTTCTCCCCACTGTATTTACATATGTATACAGTATGTCTGTGTTAGTTTAGCTGTTTAGTCCACATGTATTGGGTTAAATTGGGAAGCTATCTTAAAGGGTCCCACAGTGGGAGCTCTCAGATCCCACAGCCAGCCAGCCAGGGAGCACAGCCAGAGAGACACCGGGGCCAGGCGGATCGAGAGGCACTATGTGTCTGTAATGAAGTGACCACAAAAGGATCACTATAAGAGCGTCCAGGTCGAACCATTAAAATGGAGGTTATGGCTCTTATTTACAGCACCAGAGAGAGGGTAGGTCCCAAAATAGGACACTAGTGGCTGTGTTCCGTGTTGTAGTGTCTGAGATGTGGCCGATTAGGCTGGATTAGCTTCAGCAGGGGAGTTCCCATGCTGACATCCCCAAGCACTCACACGTATGCACATGCATGCACTCACGTACGCATGCACGCACACTCATATGCACTCACTCACACACATACATCCGCACACATGCAAGCATGCACGTACCTGTGTGCACACACACACGCACACACACTGACCTTTGACAACTGTCTCTCCCTAATTAGTGCACAGCCAGACAAGCATTACTTTACCATAAGAATTGTGCATCCCAATGCACAGAGCAGCATATTAAAACATACTAATGCTGCTTAGCTTGTACCGTACACTAGTGCTGGCCTGAATAGATGTTCCGTATATTCATTGTACTCATTTATTGCCCTCAGCAGTAGTTGTGCCTTTCAGCTACAATGACTGTTCTTCCTCAACCACATCTGTCTTTCAAGAGGGCATGGACGGAATTACGACTTGCCCTCACCACTTCCTCCAGAGCCACATTGCCTCAGAGGATGAGTAGGCTCATGCATTCCTCAGGGCTCCAGTGCTGTGTTTGCCATTTCACTTCTTCATTAGAGAATTACCCAAGGACAATTTTTCATCCAAATGGCCGTGTGACAGCCCATGCTAATACCACCGTTCTCACATCTCATCTCGTCCTCTCTCCTCAATCTCACACCACAGCCCTGACAGCTATAAAAGAGAGAAGCATCATTCAGCTCAGTCAAATGACTTGAAAACATCATATGCCAGGTATCAGTAGTAGCTAGCAAATAATGTTTTACTTTAATTCCATATATTTATCGCTCTATCTATTTGTAAGTGTTGGTACTGTAGATTCTGAACATTCTCTATAGCTATTCTGTCTCTGTGTGTAGTCCCATCTCGGCACTCTCAGAGCTTTAAAGCAGTAAAGAGCAGTTTGCATAACAGTCCCCCCCCCCCCCCCCCCCCCCCCCCCCCCCCCCCCCATAGCATGCACGCTAGAGCAGGCCTTTCAATAGCCAATCCTGTGGACTAAAATGACAGCTTTTAACTTTGAACGCCGCTCATTTTGTAAGATAGGAGGGTGGTTTTCTAGTAATTTTCGCAAGGTCTCCATGTCATCTCTAAAAATCATACAGCAAAATGATCCAGGTTGGCAGGGGAGTTGAGCTGAGGTTAAATCCCCTCAGTAGAAAGTAATGTAGCATTTGGCGACTCACTGGATTGAAACTAACTCCCAGGGTTGCAGACGGATCGTCATTCAGGGCTTTGTTCAAGTGCAGCCAGGTGAACTTATCTGTCGGCCCCATAGCTGGGAACATTTACACCAGAATACAGAATGCCATGCTTGGGGCAATCAAACAATTCCCCCCTATAATAGCGTTATAAATTATGTATTCTAAATGCATGGCTCGGCAATCTAATTAAAGACCATGGGAAATGGGGGTAGACATTTTAACTGAGTATGTTGTTGACTACTGTCTTGGGCCAAAATTATATTTCCAATGACTCAAGGCTTATACAATAGAGTGAACACAACACACACGTAAAAACTGTAAGCAAACACTGCTGCCTCACACCACAGAGGAATGACACAGAGGGGAAGGAAGCATTCTTGATGACCCAGGCAACCAATCAAATACACAGACATACATGGGCCTTTCAGATAGGAAGACACACACAGTCATTCAATGTGCGTGACTTCATTCTTCGGCAAAAAGCGACATCCGTTTACGATGTAAATTTTTTTATTTAAAAATGGTGCTATTGTCAATGAGACACAATTATGTAATATCATCTAACAAACATTATCGAAAACATTTTGGTTCAACTTCACAATAAAGGGAACTATACAATCTGACAGACCTTTCCAATTTGAAAAAGATGGCCTTTCCATTTCAATACTAATTAGTGGCATTATAGAAATATGTTAGTCTCTTTAATTAACCATGTGTTAACTTGGCCACAATATCAGATGACAACTGGTTGTGCAGAATGACAATACTAGACTGAGGTGCAGTTATCGGTATGAACGTTGTACAAGGGAACACAGTTGAAGGGCAATAGTCCATGTAATTGTTCTCGCTCAATGTTCTAGTTTGGTTTAGCCAGTCAAGTGTGGATGTTTAAACAAACACGTTAATGAGCAACTTACTTCTCTGCTTCCTTTAATGCTTTAATTCAGCATCCATCCACAGTACTCCTGTCTAAACACTATCAGAAATCAGACACTATCAATAAGCTCCATAGACTAAGCTTTTGAAAGCACTGCAAATGCAGAGTGCAAAGGGTTAAATGCTGGACATGTATGACAGATGTCAAATGTATGTACAGTCCATTCGGAAAGTATTCAGACCACTTGACTTTTTCCACATTTTTTACATTACAGCCTTATTCTAAAATTGATTATCTTGTTTTTTTCCCACAATCTACACACAATACCCCGTAATGACAAAGCAAGATCACCTTTTTTAAAATTAAACTGAATCCCATTTACATAAGTATTCAAACCCCTTACTCAGTACGTTGTTGAAGCACCTTTGGCAGCGATTACAGCCTCGAGTCTTCTTGTGTATGACGCTAAGCTTGGCACACCTGTATTTGGGGAGTTTCTCCCATTCTTCTCTGCAGATCCTCTCAAGCTCTGTCAGGTTGGATGGGGAGCATCGGTACACAGCTATTTTCAGGTTTCTCCATCGGGTTCAAGTCCGGGCTCTGGCTGGGCCACTCAAGGACATTCAGAGATTTGTCCCGAAGCCACTCCTGTGTGCTTAGGGTCGTTGTCCTGTTGGATGGTGATGCTTCGCACCAGTCTGAGTTCCTGAGCGCTCTGGAGCAGGTTTTCATCAAGGATCTCTCTGTACTTTGCTCCGTTCATCTTTCCCTCGATCCTGACTAGTCTCCCAGTCCATGCCGCTGAAAAACATCCCCACAGCATGATGCTCCCACCACCATGCTTCACCGTAGGGATGGTGACAGGTTTCCTTCAGACGTGACGCTTGGCATTCAGGCCAAAGAGTTCAATCCTGGTTGCATCAGACCAGAGAATCTTGTTTCTCATGGTCTGACAGTCCTTTAGGTGCCTTTTGGCAAACTCCAAATCGCCTGTCGTGCCTTTTACTGAGGAGTGGCTTCCGTCTGGCCACTCTACCATAAAGGCCTGAATGGTGGAGTGCTGCAGAGATGGTTGTCCATCTGGAAGGTTCGCCCATCTCCACAGAGGAACTCTGGAGCTCTGTCAGAGTGACCATCGGGTTCTTGGTCACCTCCCTGACCAAGGCCCTTATCCGCCGATTGCTCAGTTTGACCGGGCGGCCAGCTCTAGGAAGAGTCTTGGTGGTTCCAAACTTCTTCCATTTAAGAATGATGGAGGCCACTGTGTTCCTGGGGATCTTCAATGATGCAGAAATGTTTTGGTACCCTTCCTCAGATCTGTGCCTCGACACAATCCTGTCTCGGAGATCTACGGACAATTCCTTCAAACTCATGGCTTGGTTTTTTCTCTGACATGCACTGTCAACTGTGGGACCTTATATAGACAGGTGTGTGCCTTTCCAAATCTTGTCCAAGACTCAACTAGTCTCAAGAAGGCCAGTTTTATTGCTTCTTTAATCAGCACAACCGTTTTCAGCTGTGCTAACATAATTGCAAAAGGGTTTTCTAATGATCAATTAGCCTTTTAAAATGATAAACTTGGATTAGCAAACACAACGTGCCATTGGAACACAGGACTGATGGTTGCTGATAATGGGCCTCTGTACGCCTATGTAAAAATCAGCCGTTTCCAGCTACAATAGCCATTTACAACATTAACAATGTCTACACTGTATTTCTGATCAATTTGATGTTATTTTAATGGACCAAAAAATTGCTTTTCTTTTCGAAAACAAGGACATTTCTAAGTGACCCCAAACTTTTGAACGGTAGTGTATATATGTCAAAAAATGTGTTTACCTCCACAATGTGAGCACTGTCTGCATGCCAGAGCTTTTGTAAGAATGCACACACACTGCCAGTTAAGGCTCCTGTCACTGTTTATGAGCCATGCTTTACTATCAGGCATTCTGTACTACACAGTACCGTCATACAGTATGATATGCATGATAAAACAAGATAGCACTTGAGTCGATCCACAAAATTGTTTTGTCTTTGGCGTCCCCTTTAATATTTTAAGTAGAAATTGTGCACCAATATTGACTTTTAAAAGCCTGTTATATTAAATGAAGTGCTCTTTAATATAGACCACATGGAGAATTTAATCAATCAGATTTTCTATATGAATAAAGACTTGCTAAAGTGCCACAAATCTGCATTTTGATATGTTCTTCCATGCACCCTCTGTGACTTTTTGAAATGTTTTAACCTCAACCTAAAATTGTCTCCAAGTTTTCACCATCACTGTAAAGCCCTAGTTATTTTGTTGCTTTGACAAAGTCAGTTCTGAAGATTATTATTTATAAATAAATAAAAAATAATTAATTTGATGTGATTAGTGATTAATTTATGTCTGTCCCTCACTTTAAGGTCATGTCATAAGGTGTTATGTGAACTGAACTTTAGTTTTAATACGGTGAAGCTATTCCTTTTAAAATATTTTTTTCAAAAGAAATATTGAACATCTAATAGTAAAATCATAGTTTAAAAGCAGGTGAGCTGGTTATACTATTTTTGGCTGTTTTCTGGTGTTTTGTGGTGGAAAACTGAGCAGGTCGAGCATAACACATCAACCCTGTTACCCATAGATAGACAGGCTAGAAATGTTTCAACAATTTCCTTTTTTTCAGTGAAGCTTGCATTCAATTGCCACTCCCTGCTACACACAACAAGCTTCCATTCCCGCAGCCCCCCGCACCTCTCTGATTCAGAGGGGTCGGGTTAAATGCAGAAGACACATTTCAGTTGAATGCATTCAGTTGTACAACTGACTAGGTATCCCCCTTTCCCTTTTCCTGTCACAAGGGGATTCATGGCTGATTTAAGATGAATTCATCAACCCTGTTACTTTATTTGGCACTTAGTAATTTTTTTATTTAACCTCTTGAGATGGGAAAATGTGTTTTTATGGAGTTGAACATATGCTCTTTATTTACATCTGTCACGGTTTCGGCCGAGGCTGCTCCTCCTCCTTGCTCGGGCAGGCTTCGGCGGTCGTCGTCCCCGGAGTACTAGCTACCACTGTTGTATGTTATCGATGTTTGTTTGGTTTTGTCTGTATTGTACACCTGTTTCCGTTTGGGTTAATGATGTCCCCTATAAGTTTCTCGTATTGTTAGTCGTGTGTTGTGTGTTATTGTTCGCCTGTCATTTGGTGCTGCTCGTATTTTCGTATGTTGTTTATTCTGGTCCGTCGCACTGTTTGTTTCGTGCGCCTAGGATTAGTGTTTTACGCACTGCTGCGTATCGTTCGCCTCCTGTTTTGTTGAGGCCCAGTGTCTTGTTTTATTTTTGTGCAGTAAAGTCGGTTGACTTAGCTTCTGTGTCCTGCGTGTGACTCCTCCACCACATCCACATCAGCCGGTTCTGACAACATCCTTTAGCAGACACTCTTATCCAGAGAGACATACAGTAGTGAGTTCATACATTTTAATACTTTTTTCGTACTGGTCCCCCGCAGCAATCGAACCCACAACCTTGGCATTGGAAACACCATTCTCTACCAACTGAGCCACATGGGCTCAGTAGACAGAATGTTAAAATTAGGTGAAATCAGACGTTTTTTTTGTATAAAGTTACTACTTCTCAAAAGGCACTAAATTGGTAGAATGACCCACTTACATTACAACTACTTAAAGGGATAATCCACACCCAGAAATGCAAATCATGAAACTCATTTCAATTTGGTGAAAGCCTATGTTCTGTCAGTGGGTAAAATAAAACAATTCCCCTTGATTTAACTTCTAAGTGGTCCGTCTGTGAAAATCTGGAAATCGTGTAGGAACGCGTCATAGCTACATCATTTTCGTCACTGGAGATAACACACTATCGCATTTCATAATGCTTGTAAAATAATTACCTGCAATCGAGGTCGCCAAATCAGCCAATAGATGGTATCCATTTATATCGTCATGACAAAGTATATATTTCGCTTAGATGTGCTCAATCTAAACAGTGTACCAAAATATTCAACTCTGTCTCTCCTTCAAGTACCATGTCGCAATGTGCCCTGTGTCTGTGGGAAACAGAGATATCACAGAAAGGGGGAGATAGGAATCTTATTGGGCAATGAATGGAGAAACGCCCCACCCAACTGACTGTCGACCCATCGCATTCACGTCGTCATGCTGCGTCACGCGGTTGCTTAGCTAATCGT